TATCTTTCTGTAAAACAGTGGATCCTGTACATTATACACTTTGGGCTATGGTAGATAAACTAATCTTGAAACGTCACACATTATAACCTACTGCGCCCAACACCCAAGCTGGTCTCAACCCTGTTCAATAAGACAAGTCCACTGATCATGAACTCGTATAGCACAGCCTTGCCAAATGGTGACAAATGGTTTTAATGCTTACTCTCAATGTCTGAACTTATCTCAGTGAAGACTGGTAAGTTTGAGGACTGTCAACCCCTTAACCACACTTCGAGTAGCACTGCTCTTGAGTTCCTTCTTTCTAAACCAAACCATTAGTTCTTTCAATCATCCTTCATAGAAGGTTGTGGTGTCTAGATCATTGGCCATTCCGATTACTCTTCTCTAGGAGTAAATCCCTTTCCACGTGCCCCTGAAAATGTGGCTCATTGTTCCTGATGTATGTGACCAGGCAGAATACAGCGGGTCTGCAACCTTCCAAGTATTGAGATTCATGCTTCTGGTCAGGTATCCTAAGGTGGGTGATCATAGTTTGGTAGCCACATTACATGGTTAACTCATATTAAGCTTAAATCTGCTACAACTCTCAAGGCTATTAATAGGAACCAAGCCTTTCCATCTTGCGCATCCTATAATAGATTTGTGAAGTTAGGGTCTTTATATTTTACTTCATGAAATTTCATCTTATTAATAGGCCATCCTTCAATTCTGTTAAGATCTTCATGCATCTCAATATCACTATGCTCTAACAACAATAATTAGTTTTATCTTGCACTTTAACATTTATCGGACATTTTCATATATAATCTCATTTGATCCTGTTGACAAACCATGCTAAATGTGTATTGTTATCATTTCCATTTTACAGCTGAGAAAATTGAGTCTCAAAGTGGGGTGCCTTGCTCAAGATCACTTGGTGAATAATCTGTGCCATCTTCACATCTAAAAAACATGAATTCTTCTGACTCATTCAAGTTATTCTTAAAATGGGCATAACCTGAAAGCACCCCCCAGAGATCTCTCCTTCAGTTACTTTCAGTCGTTTGATCACACTCTTTGATGGAGTTACTCAACCAGCTACTAACAAAATGCTCTGTAGCCTCCAGCAGTTTGCCGTCTTGGCCACAACAATATCATGAGAGCCTTTTGTCAGTTCCTGGCTGAAATCCAGACACTCCATGTCTATGGTATTTCCATGGTTTACTAAATCATTAAGATAAGAGAATAAAGTTTTGGTGTGTTTTTCTCATAAACACATCTGACTCCGAGAGGTTTCCATTTTGCATTTCTAAATAATCACAAACTATTTGTTTTTAGCCTTAAAAAAAAACAGATGAAATCTGATCATCTTAAACAATCAGTACACTTTCACAGTTATTGGGGAGTCTGCTATGTGCCTGACCATCTGCTACACCGTGAATGTATAAAAAAACTAAAACTCTAGTGTTTTTCATACTGTGAATCATGGCCTGTTGGTGGATTATCAAATGAATTTGGTTGGTTGCAAACATTTTTTTAAAAAAAATGAAATAGACTAAACTAGAATATAAAGTATCAGAGGACAAATATTTATAGTACGAATTTCTTTCTTTCTTTTTCTTTTTTTCTTTTTTTCTTTCTTTCTTTCTTTCTTTCTTTCACTTTAGCATAATTTGTATGTGGGCCTTGAGCAGTGATGGAAAATGTACTTTTTAAAATTAGCAGATAACATTTATTGAACACTTAGTATGTTCCATATACTGTTCTAGGTACTGTATATGGATTACTTCCTTTTATGCTTCTTCCATTTTTATTGAGATATCATTGATGTATAGCACTATATACGTTTAAAGTGTACAGCATGATTTGACTTCCATGCATCATGATTCCCACAATAAGTTTAGTGAATATCCATCATTCCATATAGATACAATGTGAAAGAAATAGAAAAAGAAAACTTTTTTCCTTGTGATGAGAACTGTTAGGATTTACTCTCTTAACAACTTTCACATCTAATGTACGTCCGTGTTCATTATATTTATCACGTTGTACATTGCATCTCTAGTACCTATTTATCTTATAACTGAAAAATGTATTTCTTACTGTATGTCACTATCAGTAGTTTCAAAGATCCTGCACTAGTGGGAAAAACAGACACAGAACCGTGTCAGTACCCTTTGGATGTACTATGATAATTGCATGCACAGGGTACTAAAGGAGATGGGTATTATTTTCTTTTTTCTCTGTTTTATTTTTGATTTTTATTGCTTTGGTTTTTGTTTGTTTGTTTTGGTTCAAACCATCTAAATACTGCAAAATTTCCCTGAACTGTTTGCCTTTTTTCCCAGGAGTTTACCACTTTCTCATATGCCTTGGTTGGGTTTTAAATATCCCTTTTTTGCCCACAGCTAGTATAATAAGCTCTTTAGAGCCTAGCAGACAGGGGCAGGCTTTCCATCCCCAGCCCACAGTGCCCGCTTGGCATCTTTTCTAAACCAACATAAAGAAGTCCTTATCCAACTAGTATGTGGTTTGCTAGCATCAGTAACCAAGTTTGGGCTCGCTTTAGAGAGCTCGTTGGAGCTAACACGAAATATTGTAGTTTCTATTTTTAAATATCTGTATTTTCTTTAAAAGCATATCCTTCTTTTGCCTTCTCAGAAACTATTTGCAAAAAGGCTTTTTGAGAATGCTTACTTAATATCAACTTCTCCTCACTAGCTTCCTGATATGTGACATGAAAATCCAATAAACTCAACCTTCAACCTATCACAGTACCTGATATTTAAATGACTCTCAGAGTTCAGGGTTTATTGTATCCATTACAGGGAAAGAGGAAGTAGAAAATGCTACAAAGAAAGTATATTTTTGACTCATCATCCTATAGTCTTGCCTTTTTTTCCATCTGTACAATTTTTTAACTCTTTCGCCAAAGTTTTGTACAACGTTTTAAAAACTCGGAGCTAATTTCCTACTGTGTTCCCACAGCTATGGAATTCTTTGCGAGTACCATGCTTTTCTACCTTCTTTCACCTTATACTTGAAACTTCAAATGTGTCATTTAGTCCAACTCATGTAAGCCTAGATTTTCAGGAAATAAATAAGAATGGGAAGATCCCACATTTATTGACTAAGCATCTGTTTATTTTTCCTTGAAAACAATATATTGCAAAGTCCAGGGGAGACAAGGTGGATACCAGATATGTAGAAAGATAGATAAGCCATCTGTCTCACACGGACAGGTCGCACAGAAGCCACTGAACAGACACTGAAAAATAACAAATGAACCAATACTCCTCAGCGAGGGACTACTAAATGCAGTACTTCATTTAATCCCCACAGCGAACCTATGAGGCAGGGCCTATTTTTACTCCATTTTATAAATGATAAAAACTTACTTTGGAGAGAGTAAGCAACTTGTGTACAGTCACCTAAGTCTAACTGGTATTAACTACTAGCACTGGGAACCAGGTCTTAGAACCAGATGTCAAAGTAAAGTGAAATAAACTTAATCCAATTAACTATACACACACACACACATATATAGATATATATAGAGAGAGCAGTTACTATATGCTTGATGAACTTACCTGTAACTGTTGAGAGTGGGTGCTTGTGACATGAGTTTAAGTTAGTATTATAATAAATGCTACAATAAAGATCTAAACCTAATGCTACAGGAGTACAGAGGGAGTGCAGTCACTGCCTTGGGGCTGTCAGGAAAGACTTCAAAGAGACACATGAGCTGAGTACCCAAGAATGGTCAGGGACCAGGGAAGGATGTGGGGACCATATATACCCCTTAGGCTCTTAATCCTGTAACAGAGCTGGGTGTTGGGGCGTAGTTGCAGGTCAGAGAACAGAATGCAGGAAGATTGGGAGGAACAGCTGAAATAAGTAAAGCACACTGCAGTCAGGTCAAAAGAGCTTCGAATGCCATAATAACACTTAGGAGGGCTGAGGGAAACTGAAAGCTTCTAAACTGGGAAATCCTGTGATCGTACTTGGATTACACTTGGAAAGCTGTTTAGATGGAGAAGATGCTGGCCTGGTTTTTACTGTGATAACCCAGCCAAGGACCTGAGCTAGGGAATGGGAGTGAAGATATGAGTGGGGGAGCAGATCTGAGAATCATTTCAGAGTTGGGTCTTGGTCATACGCATGGTGAGGAGAAGAAGGAGCAGGTGATTCCGTTCATCTCCGAAGGAAATTATTTAGATGGCCTAAACAAAGCCACCTCTGGGAACCAGACTCTCCTCTCTCAGGGGCTACGAATTCAGGCAGAACCCAGACAAGTAAGAGAAATGTGTGAGGTGCAGCAGGTACGACAGGGCAGAGCAGTGGGGCCTCGGCACCCAGACAAGCGTGTCCTACGAAGGCACTCCAATTCAGGGTTAATTAAAACCAAGAAGGCCGGCCTGGCCGTGCAGGCTGGGTTGGACTCTCCTCCACCAGGGGTCTCTCGAATAGCTCCCAAGTTTCTACCTCCAGGAATTCGGAGATAATTTTGCCCTTAACTTACACAGGGAACATATGCTAAGAATCAAGTCTGGGAGACTAAGGAGTGTTGGCTCCGAGGTTCAGAAGAGGGAAGCTGGAAATATGGTCTTAGGGCTCCATGAAGAGGTTTCAGGGAAGAAGTAAATGCATTTTATGGCAGGATTAAGTTTCTATGTGAAAAGGGGAACTGCAGGTGTTTTATATTTAGGCTGTCTCGACGATGGTAATTACGTCCTCTTTGTAATCAGGCAAGGAAGCTTCTCAGAGAGGAAGAAAGGAAAGCTGAAAGGAAGAGAGCTTTGCGGGTTGGGAAGGAATCTTCCAGCTACTGGGAAGGAAGAGGGTGTAGGGACCATAAAGACGGTGGAGGGACCCAGCAAAGGTGCCCAGGAAACCCAGAGAGCACGTGCGACAGGGAAGGAAGGAGAAAAAGGAGGTGGGGGTACCGTGCCTTTGCTCACCTAGATTCCCCTCTCCATCCCAGCCACCTGTAAATGCGCGTCATCCTTGATGTTTCCCAGGGCGACGACTCTGATGAGGAAGATCTCTGCATCAGCCACAAATGGACTTTCCAAAGGACCAGCCGCCGGTGGTCTCGCGTGGACGACCTCCACGCAGTGTTTCCCGGCGGAGACAGAAACGGGTCGTCAGGAGACATTACGATGAGAAACACGACCAGCAGTGAGAGCGTCCTCACCGACCTGAGCGAGCCCGAGGTCTGCTCCATTCACAGCGAAAGCAGCGGCGGGAGCGACGGCCGCAGCCAGCCGGGCAGCTACGGCGCCGGCCGGGAGGCCTTGGACGGCCCCGGGCAGTACTGCGCCCACGGCCCAGCCATGCTGGACGCCACGCTGGGCGGCAGCAGCCTCCCGCCGTCCCCCAGAGACGGTCTCCAGCACCCTTTGCACCCAAAGAATGAGAAGCCCTCCCGGGCCAGAGCCAAATCCTTTCTGAAACGCATGGAAACGCTGCGAGGGAAAGGAGCGCAGGGAAGGCAGAAGGGGTCGGGGCGGACCGGGGGCTTGGTGATCAGCGGCCCGGTGCTGCAGCAGGAGCCCGAGTCCTTCAAGGCCATGCAGTGCATCCAGATTCCAAATGGAGATCTCCAGAACTCAACCCCCGCTGCCTGCAAAACAGGGCTTCCGGGCCCCAGCAAATGGAGCGGTGAGAGCAGCCCGTCGGAAAACAGCAGCAGCGGGGTGAGCACGCCCGGCCTGAAGGAGCGAAGATGCCAGGAGGCCCACAAGCGCGGGGGAATGTACTTAGAGGACCTGGATGTGCTGGCGGGGACAGCACTGCGGGGTGCAGGGGACCAAAACCACGCACGCGAGTTTCATTCTCAAGAGAACTTGGTGGTGCACATTCCCAAGGACCACAAACCAGGCACGTTCCCCAAGGCGCTCTCTATCGAAAGCCTCTCACCAACAGACAATAGCAGCGCGGTTAACTGGAGGACTGGAAACGTCTCCCCGGGAAGACGGCCGGGCCCTGGGGCCGGGGAGCCCAGGCTCATGGCGTCCTGCCACAGAGCGAGTCGAGTTAGCATCTATGACAACGTCCCCGGCTCCCACCTGTATGCCAGCACCGGGGATCTTTTGGACTTGGAGAAGGACGATCTCTTCCCTCACTTGGACGACATTCTGCATCATGTCAATGGACTCCAAGAGGTAGTGGATGACTGGTCCAAAAACCTGTTACCTGAACTGCAGACACATAATGCACTGTCCGGAGAAGCTGGCTTCTGCCCCTTCCCCCCTCCTAGTCAGATCACCTTAGATTTTGAAGGCAATTCTGTCTCCGAAGGTCGGACAACACCCAGTGATGTGGAAAGAGATGGAGCGTCTCTTAATGAATCAGAGGCCGCTGGGGTCAGAGAAAGGAGGGACTCTGGAGTAGGGGCCTCTCTGACCAGGCCAAACAGGTTGGTGGCATGACTTTGTGAAATGATGTTTAATCCATTTCATAATAATTATGGTCTATGTATTTAACAAACATTGATAGAGTACCTTCTAAATATTTCACACTGTCCTAACTGATGTATGTGGTTGGGGATTATTTGAACAGTAGTATGTCTTTCGTGCAGATACTGTGGTGACTGAATCCATGTTAACTCACATTCATTTCTCCTAGTGTTTACCCTTTAATTCAATCTTGGTTTTATGCAAAAAAAATTTTTGAGCTTCTTATGTGCAAAGCACTGATGAGAAGGTCCATTGCCTGTGCACAGGCCCTTCCCATGACCTTGCAAAGCATCTCTACCCCAAATTTTAAACTTTTAAAAAAGTCCATGAGAAATTTCTGAGATCTAAGGTGTATACACACTTCATAAGTTTATTTTGGCTTGAAAATGCCGATTACTAAGTACATAAAAGCTGTTGTACAACGACCATTTCAGAAGCTCCTTAGACAATGGCCCTGGCAGGGCCTAAGCAGTAGGAACAGCCTACTGTATGTGCTGCTGGGTTTCTCACTGAGGCAGTGACAGCTCTCGAGGCTCATTGACTGACGTGTCATCACTTCAGGAGTGCTTCATCAGTGCTGCTCACCAGTCAGAGTGCGGAGACAAGACAGCAGTGTGACAGTACTCTATAGCTCCCAAACGTTTGCAATCTCTGGCTCTCTGTCACTGTCCGTCTGTCTGAATGTCTCTCTCTTTCTTACGCACACACACAGTCTCAGCTGCTTTCAACACTTTGGGAATGAGTTTAGGAGTAAACAAACACATAAAATTTATTATATCACTTATTTAAGCCTCCTAATGAAACAGATAATGACTTTTTCCAGATTTATCAGACTTGGGAAAAATAGTTTCTTCTGTTTATTCTGTACATTTTGTGTCTTCTGTTCCATTTGCTTGGTGGTTTTCTTGGCTCGGAAACTATTTTGATTAGCTACTTAACAATTAATAACATCCTGTATTTTCCGATATCACGTGCCCTTTGTGACTGGCTTCTCTGACGGTCTTTCCGGTAAAGGCGACTCCGGTGGAACAGCTTCCAGCTCTCACACCAGCCGCAGCCGTCCACGGCGTCGCCCCACATCAGCGGTCAGACAGCCGGCCAGCTGAACCTGCTCCAGCGCTTCTCCCTGCTTCGCCTCACGGCCATCATGGAAAAGCACTCCATGTCCAACAAACACGGCTGGACGTGGTACGTAGCCCATTCACCTAGGAGGGGACTGTTTGTTCCAGGGCTCAGGGTGCGATCGCGAACACTTCAGTATTTACTTTCTGATTTCTGAAGAATCCGTTCATTGCCTTCACTGCCAATCTCCTGAAAATAATGCCCAGAGTTCTGCCTAACTGCCCGCCTCTGGGCTGCCAAAGCTTCGATCCAAAGCTTCGATGTGATGTAGCCTGCAGGAAGCATTGCTTTATTTGTAGCTCTCTGTCAGTTTCCAGGGAAGGCAGTCAGGCTCCAAGAAGGAAAAAGGACAAGTAAAGAGTAATTAGTTGTGAACAGAGACATTAAAAATAAACTTGCCATCAAGTAATTTTGGCAGTTTGCAAAGAAACATCTGTTTCTTGCACCTTCTGGCCCAATGCAGAGCTCAACACTTACAGCACTGCTTCATTCATAGAGCACTGAACTCTTCAAATGCAGTTCTGCTTTTATTTCACTGGCAAATGAAAACAAGAATATGCAGGAAACCTTTGGAATAAGGGGTTGACAAAAGCATATGTTGGAACTTGAATGTGGACCTATTTTAGATGATTTGGTGGATTTGGAAAAAAATAAAATGTGTTGTTAATTGTCATATAGAAGAATCGGCAATGCTTTTATAAAAATATTTTAGAAAGTTATAAATTGCGTGGTCAAATCAATATATGCTTGTGTATTAAAATTTCCTTTAAAAGGTACAACTGGTTTTAGAAAAGTAAGGATATAGTCTAGGAATGTGATTTATCTTCTCTCCCCTTCTTTCTCCCCCAACCCCAACCAGATTCTTCTTCTTGATGTATTTTTTAATTTGTTTTGTTATGTCTTGTTGGGGACGTTTAAGTGTTTATCACTTGAGAAGTGTGTCTATCACAATTAAACTGGAAATTCGAGCACTTGATTTGAAAGCAGGGCCATAAATCCATTCTGCTAACGTGAGTCATGCTGTTTAATAGTTAGAGGTCTAACAGAGGCACGGGGCACACACAGTCCTTCCATGTAATGTGAGTAATTAAGAGAGAAACATTGAATCCCCCCGTGCTTGTCCAATATTCCAACAAAAGCTTGGCTTCCCTCTTGCTCTCACAGCCTGTCCCCACAGTGTGCTCCACGAGGCGTGCATGACCTGCTTTCTGTGAATTCTAGGGCAGTTCCAAAGTTCATGAAGAGGATGAAAGTTCCTGATTACAGAGACAAGACAGTCTTTGGCATTCCTCTCATTGTTCACGTCCAGAGAACGGGACAGCCCCTTCCACAGAGTATCCAGCAAGCCCTGAGGTATCTACGCAGCAACTGCCTCGATCAGGTAGGGTCGTAAATCCCAAGCACACCCTGGGATGTATGGAGTGCCAGGCAGAGCCAGATCTGTCCAGGATCAGACAAGACATGCCTCTCCAAAATAAAAGGCATTGTGATCTTTATAGGTCAGTATTTAATCTGACCAGGTGACATCCTTGTCAAGCTGTGTGAGGATGTTTCCTCACTGGCAACTTGAAGGACACCCTGGAGTGACTGCAGAAAGCTAATGTGAATCATTTGTACCCGTGATGGCTAATTTGTGTTCCCCCAAAACTGAGAGTAAAGCTGTCTACTGCGTTTCCTTTTAATTATGGTCTCAGTGCCACCATTAATTCCACAGCATTCTGTTATCCCTCTTTGTCTTTTTTTTTAAAACCAGAATTAGGTCTTTATATCTCCCTTTATTAAATTTTTTTTGAAGCAGCACCATGACAGATTTATTTATATCTTTCAAAAAATTTATTTATATCTTTTTAAAATGTGCAAGTAAAATATGAAAATAGGGACTTCCCTGGTGGTACAGTGGTTAAGACTTCGCCTTCCAATGCAGGGGGTGTGGGTTCAATCCCTGGTCGGGAAGCTAAGATCCCACATGCCTCAGGGCCAAAAGACCAAAACATAAAACAGAAGCAGTATTGTAACAAATTCAATAAAGACTTTAAACAGGGTCCACATCAAAAAATCTTTTAAAAATATGAAAATAATATCAGCTAAATTAAATATTCCCTCATCTTGTGGAGTTGATTAAAAAGCTCAAGCTAAACAAAAGTCTTGGAGATCATTTTTGTCTCCAGGACTGTGGGGGGGGGGGGCATCACAATGGTGGACTCTGATTGGCCCAGAATGCAACCCATCCTATAATTAACCAGGCCAAGCCTTTGCTCCTCGGAATTAACACTCATTAGTTTCTCTGTTAGACATTAGGTCCAAAATGAAATTCTGCTTGATAAATTACAGCCTTGAGCAGTGGGGGTATTTTCAGGCAACTATTCTATAATGGCTTTTGTTCACAATACTCTGTAATGCCCTGTGAATAATCTGTGCCAACCTAAGATTATTTGCACTTCTCATTGATTTTCCCTTGGCCTCTTGGGCTCAGTGGACAGGAATGAGCTGAGCTACACGAATTCATGAACTGATGCTTGTCTCCACCACAGTGCTGAGATCACGCTAAGAATCAAGATGGTCTCTTGATGAATCCGATACCAGTTTTCAGTAAGAATGAGAGTAACTTCTTCATTCAATGCCATTGCTGATTGAACTAAATGCATTATTCCATTCTCCCTTCCCACTCCTAATCTAGATAATACACATACCTACATTTTTTCATATTTAGATGTTATAGTGAGGGTAACAGTGGTTGCTGTTACTGTTGTGGTGGTGATGGCTGCTTTGTTCGAGAAATGGCCTGGATGGCTTGCCTGTTGTTTCCCAGAAAGAAGGGCGATAGGACCACTTGTCTAAAGCTAATGGTGCTCATCTTTGGCAGATGCCCCAATATTAACTGACTTGTGAATAACATCCCAATAGAGCAATCCATTGAATCTGGTTTGTTAAGCGTTAGATTTGGGGTTTTTTTTTTTTCATTTTAGAGTTTTTATCAAAAGCACACCTTAATCAAAGGTAGAGGGTCTGTGGGTATCTTACTGAGGAAACTTTTTGGGGAGGTGGGCTCAAGTGAACACTTGGAAATGCCCACTCTGATCACTGTCTTTTGCAGCCCTGAGAGTACTGCAGCCACGCCCTTTGGCACAGGACGTCGTGGCTTCAGTTGTACTTTTACTGGTTGATTAGTGCAGACCCAAGATTGTATTTTGTGGAGGGTAGCCGGTTATTCGGACACATGTTTTTCCAAGCTTCTCAGTTTTCCTAAGGGTGTGTAAGACTCATCTCCCCTCTTGGCCGGTTCCCTTAGAGTGTTCGGCTCTGCCTTTTACCAAGCATAGAAAATATTCTGTTCCAAACATTCTAATGGATAGCCAGCTAGCTGATGCTTATCAGCAAAAGCTCTATTCAGAGAAAACAGTGTTTGTTCAGGAATGCTTAAAGTAAATGCAGGCCATCTGTGCCATTCATTCAATAATAGTAACCTTTCTTGCGTGCCCAGCATGTTTCAGGGATCATATTAAGTATCCTGCAAGCATTGCCTCATTTAATCCCATATCCACCCTGGGCAGGGTTAGCCCCTAGGAGGCAATGGTGGAGCCAACACTTGCTTGAAGATCTATCTGCAGAGTCCAAGTTTTTAACAAGTGCACTTTGCTACCACCTGTTAGAATTGCTTGTCCCAGTGGACTTTGGGGTGATGCCATCTCTAGCATTGAGGGACACTCTGAGAAGTGGCCCGAAACAACTCATTGATGAATTCACTCTCAGGATTGTGTTGATGAATTTGATCATTATATCATGTGGTGTCTTTTCTGTAAGAATGAAAGAATTTTTTTCTCTGGCCCCAGCACCTGAAAAGATTGTTGTTTTTAGATAACTGGTCTGTATTTATATTAGGTACACCAGACTCATTCAGCTGGATATGTTTTCCTCTCTACACTGGCTGCTAGAATTATTGAAGCCAAATGCATGTTCTGCCTGTAGTAAATATATATAATTTGGGGGCATGAATTTTGTGTGTGAACCTCATTCCTACTTCCTGCTAACCTTTTCTATCTTTATTTTCCTTTTGCTCTAGTCCTCTCATCTATTATCTTTAATTGCATCTTACTGTACTTTTTAGATCACTGTAAGTCACCTTGAATTCTTTCTCGAACAAGATTGGGTATAAATGCATTGTAATACCACCACTCTACTCACCGCATAGTCTTTATGTAGAATGGAAACCAGTCCCGCCCCCTGCAGATTCTGAATAATGAGTATCACCGGCATCACTACTGTTACTGGGCCCAGTGTCCTGTTTGAAGACAAAGTCATATGAACAGAGAGGACAGTGGCACCAAAACCCCCTCAATCTCTACTCACTGGCTTATTCCCAGCCTCCATTTCAGGCCTATAACTATTTTTTTTTTTAAATCTGGAAGAACGCCACACTGAAAAACAGTATGCTGGCAAAGCTTTATAAGAAAAAAGACTCATTTCAGAGGCATAAATACTGATTCTAAATGTAACCGCAATGAACAAGGCAACCCTTCTCTTGTATCCGTCAAAAGAAAAAATCCTCAAGATGTCAAAGGGACTTGCGTGGAATCCAGTTCCTCCCCTTATGGGGTACACAACGCCAGCAGGGCCCCCACCTTGTATGTCCCTCTCCTTCATCAGCACACAGTGTGGGCAGCACACAGAGCCCCCCTCTGGTCCCTGTGAAGAAGGAAGGTGGTCATAGGAAGGGACAAGGGGAAACTAGAGAAACATAATAAGAATCGAAGAAAACCAGGCTCAGGAGGAAGACTGTTCTAGAGATTTAAGAGCAAACTCGAGCAAATAAAAGCCAATGAGTCAGAAAAGAAAGAGGAGGGACAAGGGTCACAAGGAAGGAGTGGACACACACGAGATGAGGGTCCTTCCTTCACCAACGGCACCTCCTCTGAAGGGAAGACTCAGGTCTACACAGGCTCTTGAGATCTCAGCCCCCCGGCCGTGCAAGACCAGAGGGTCTCAGAATACTCTTCCTCTGAACCCCCCTTAACTGGCTTCTCTGCTGCCTGCCTGCCTCTACATGGTCCCCTCGAACTACCATGCAAGACTGTCCCAAGGCTCAGCTCCTCATCCCGGGGAGGGAGGCTTCCTGCAGTAAGCTCAGCTTCTCTCCCTCATGCTACACATTTTTCTCAAACATTCATCACAAACAGCTGAAGACAGCCCTACAGGGTCCTGAAACAAGACCACCGTTCCACCTCCTGCACCCCCAAGTGCAGAACAGCTTCCACATGAGGAAACACAGTGTATCCATTTTTGCCCTGGCAGCTGGCTGGAGATGAAATAGGGAGTTTAGCCTTCGGTTCTGAACCATTTGTATTCAGACACAGCAGTTTGTGAGACGAGCGGGCTTTGTTGGCTGAGCTTTATTGCTGCCCTACATCAACTGCACAGAAGGATAGGTTATACCCAGCCCCTGATGAATATGAAGTCACAGCAGAGAGTGGCTAAACCCGCAGTGCTCCAGATAAGAACCCACCACATACTGTTCTTAGGAACCTCTCTCTCTCTCTCTCAATAAAAGCAACTTTTCTTCATTAGCGGAGCACATCCCTAAAGAAGAGGAAATGCAAGTCCTGACAAACATCATTAAGTGCTGCAAGGATTAGCATAAACAGGACGCCAAGTAGGAGATTTAATATTATTTAGATGAAATTTGAGTTCTAATGCAGCACTCATGCCCAGGCTCTCCTTCTAATGGAGCAGTAAGTTTTAAAAGCCCAATTATGCTGGGAAGACACTTTATACTCAGTACAAGTGTCCTCGACCTGCCGCCTGTTCATCACCCTCCCTGCTGCCTACCTCCGGTAAGATGAGTGATGTTCCAGCGCCTATCTGTTTAAATTATACTTTGAGTCCTTGCTTTCTCATAGCTGAGTTTTTGGGTGGAAGACTAAAGAGAGGAAAGTAAAACTAGATCAGAGCAACACTCATTGTTCATCCTTTTATCTTTAAAATGAGAGATTATGTGCAAGAGAAAAGCTTAAAAACTGGATTTCGCATTGCTGACCTCTATTCTTACCTTTTAAGAGAGTCTTAGAGCCGTGCTTTCGAGGTACATGAGAGCAGGCCCTGCTGTGTAATTTGTGGAGCCTTGTGCAAAATGAAAGTGCATATAAATTATGAAGAATTTCAAAACGGTGACCGCAGAACGTTAAACCAAGTGTGGGTCCCCGTGTGTCTACCCAGGTCACCCGCCCACCAGTGACAGACACGGAAGCAAATGAAAGACATTTCACACATCTTGGGTCCTCCTCATAATGAAGCTGAAGGGTCCGGAGTTGCCTCCCATTGGCTATGATGACAAGGGTGCCCTTAGAAGAAACCCATTTTAAAGTGGTTTCTTTGGTCCTCCACTTAAAAAAATTAGCCAAAAATGCATATTTTATCACTGCTCTGAAAGCTTTTTGCAGAAGAAGAAATGATGGTTGCCAACTCCATGGACCAACACCCCTGGTTGCTCTATGATGATGGGTAGGAGAAGCTTTTCTCTCTGGTTCCAGGACCTCTACATCACTAGAGGAAGCTTCTATTTACCACGCCCAGGGAGTTTTTCACTCCAGGGACCAGAAGCCCTGCCCCCAAATGGCTTAAACTATAGAAAATTCCCACGGTCACATGACAAGAAGGCAGGAAGCAGGACAGTTCCAGGATTAGTTCTTACATTAGCTCAGTGACATCTTTGAAGACAGGCGCCCTTACCATCTTTCCCTTCCGCCATCCTCCACTCCAACATCTGGAGTCTGATTTCAGACCACCTTTACTTTATTAGGCTTAGGAAAAAAACTTTCCTTTGGTGCTTCCAACAAAAATCCCCAGAACCCACAGATATTTCCCACGTCCCTTGGATGATAAGGGTGGGACGGGAAGGTTATTGTCAGAAATTGAGGCAGAACAAATAAATACCTGACAACCCTCTGGACATCCTGTGAGATCTAAGTCAGAACAAGCAGCTCGGAGCCCGCAGCTGGAGAGCTCCAGACATGTCTAAAATAATTAAAATCACAATATTTGCTGAAACTAGAAAGAAACTTGGAAACAAAACAATACAAAGAAAACATCACTGGGATGTGTGTGTACCTGCACGTCACTGTGCACCCAAAATCAAAGCCAGCAAGACACAGAGGACAAAAGAGGAATCTCGTTCTGCGATGTCCTCACAAACACTTGTCTGCTTTATTCTTTTTATAGAATCCGATCAATATTTCTCTACCATTAAAACATAATAATAACAGGAATTCTCAAATGGAATAATACCAACGCACAGGAGGATAACTGTGAGTCACACTGAGGAATTCACCTCTGGGGCACTTGGCTTCTGAGAACTCCCGCGCAGCACAGCCCTGAGGCAAGGTCCCGGGCCTCCTTCCAGAATCCGAAGAGTTGAGATGTAAACACATCAAGGCTGGATCTCACTTCGATAATCACTCATTTGACATCTTGAACTTTTCTTTTGACAGGACGTGCTTTCTTCTCATGCCCTTTGATGAAACTTGGAGTAGTTGCCAGAGGAAGAGAAATGCTCTTTAGATTCTTCTTGGCAATGTTTTGCATTTTCTAGACATTCCAAACTTTAAGAATAAAAAAGAAAGCAATTAATATTTTAAGTGACACTATGCCTTAATATCCTGTTCTGTGAAATTAGGGTGGTAAGCCTTGGAACGCCAAGAAGTATTACTAAGAATTCTGTCTTTATTGCCACAAAAAGTAGCGGTGTATAATTGCCCCTGCGATCCATTCAGCTGACGTATACAAAAACCTGAGTATTCTCTAATTGCTTGGAATTCTTCCCTTGCTGTTACGCAGTTTAAAAGAATTGGCGCTGCTCTCTGTTTATAGCAGCAACCAAGAGAGCTCTCTTCAGACCCCTGAGCTTGGGTCGAGGCCGGCCTGGCACACAGAGCAGCCAGTGAGACAACCTGGCGTGTCTCTCCAGGAATAAGGAGGGAGAGCAGCGCTGACTCGAGGCCGCTGCCCACCTCTCTGACCACTGGGAATGTGGAAGTGGGCCAACCAGTGAGCCCTTGGGGAGTGAAAAGAGTGGAGACTGAGGGTTGAAGAACCAGTTTTGAGAAACTCAGTGCCCTATAGGCATTTAAAAATAGTAGACATACGAATTCACCATAAGCCTGGGCTCCCAGAGAAGCTCAGTTCTTTTGGGGTGACGGCAGGTCCACTTGGGGAGAGCCTACAGCATAACTTGGAAACCACTGCAGGAACCTCCATCCTCATCGGGCTCTGCTCCCCCGGCTCATTCCTGTTAGGGGCGTTATCCCCACGGTGCCTTATTGCTCCGTTCATTTATCAAGCAGAGGAGTCGTCTAAGCCCTAAGGATGAAAAAGGCATAATACAGTGTCTTGAAGACTGAAGAAAAGCCACTTAGGAATCATTCTCACTACAGCCATAGCTTCTACACATACTAACTAACCAGGTAGAGTAGTAAGTGCATCATATGAGAAGCGTATGTTACAAGGATTCTGAAGAAGAAAAGCATATAAGACCCATCAATCAAAATATGTGCTTAACGATATTTTGTTTCATGAGCATATTCCCTATAAACCTCTCCCTCAAAGGGGCATTGGATATGGTTACCTATCTGGGATCCACCAAACCTTCCATTGACAGAAGTTTCTCAAAACCCCCACTAAAGTATACACACCAGAAGGTAGGGAATTTTGTCTGACCTGCTCACTAATGACTCTTAGTAGATATAAGTATGCCTGATATATAGGGGGTGTTTAATCATTACTTGTTAAATAAATGAATAAAAAAATAACGTCTACCATGTTGTAAGACTTGACAAGTCACAAAGCACAATCACGTATATTTTCTCAGGAGCCCTGTAAGGTGGGCTATTATTCTTATTTTCATTTCATGGGAGAGGAAGTCAGTGTTCAGCTACTGCCCGAAGTAGCTAAGTTAGTAATTTACAATATACTAGTTTGGATGCAATTCCAAGTCATCGAGTCCTGGTCCTGTTGCCTTCTCATCTCCGTCAGCGTGCTTGCAGTAGGAAGAAAACGTCTGGGGTAAAGGCGGCCTCACTAACACGTCACTGTGGCTTGTTTCAGGTGGGTCTTTTTCGAAAATCAGGCGTGAAGTCTCGAATCCATGCCTTACGTCAAATGAACGAGAGCTTTCCTGAGAACGTCAGCTACGAGGACCAATCCGCTTACGACGTGGCGGATATGGTGAAGCAGTTCTTCCGGGACCTTCCTGAGCCTCTTTTCACCAACAAGCTCAGCGAGACCTTCCTCCACATCTATCAGTGTAAGTGGGAACAAGGTAGATCAGTGTTCTCAAATGCATTCATCCACCTAAAAAACAAAATTCTATAGATTGAATTTTATTTGTACAAGTAATGCATGAAGAAGTATATAAAAGTTACAATTCTACCTTCCTCTCCGGAAGTAAACTTTGTTCACACTTCAATATGGAAATCTCCAGGCTATATTTTATGCATTTGAAAATATGTTTTTGACATCAAAATCTTCCTGCTCCATAGGGTTTTATGTAGGATATAAAAACTTTCAATGTACTTTTAATAAATTTAAAATGAAAAGGTAACAATAGAATTTATTTTATATATAGGTGTTTTTAAAAAGAAAGCATTTCCTTGGGATATATGAAATCCAAATGTGTTAAAATGACTAGAAATAAAAGGAAATGTGTTTTAATGCAATGTATTTTAATTGTTGAAAAGTAAGCAAGCCAAATCAAGGCTTAAGCTTAATTCAACTAATTTATATTTTCACTTAGAACTTTTTAAGTGATGTGAAGTTGATAATTCTCAGCAAAACCCCTATAATTAATCATTGAAAAAAGCAAGTATTGATTTAACAACATATCCTGCTAAAGATAGTTGCAAAGTAGGGGATGGTATTAGAAATGAACACGTGGCTCTTTTCTAGCTGCACTGTTATGGTTATACAGTTGTCCCTCAGTAACCTTGTGGGATTCCTTCCGGGACCCACCGAGGATGCTAAAGTCCCATAGTCGGTTTTCCATATCCTCAGCTGGGCATCCAAGGATTCAGACAACCACGATCATAAACATAGTACAGGATTCACAGTTCATTGAGTCTGCAAATTCAGGACCCAAGTATAGGGAGAGCTGACTGTGTATTTATTGAAAAAAAAAAAAAATGTGCCTGTTAAGTGAACCCATACAGGTCAAACCGTGTTGTTCAACAGTTAACTGTAAGTATTTAATGGTCCAAGCCTCAATTCTTTAGGGAAAAAACACTTGGCCTGTGGACTTTTGAGTTTTTAGCAACATATACATGAAGTGGACCTTGACATGGAATTGATCCAACTCGAAAAAAGATTCTTGCTGTTGAGAATTCTGTACTAAATGTGTTTCAGGAGTTTATAATATTGCAAATTCGAAAAGGATTATAACAAGTACCACTTGTAAAAACAGGATAAAGTGGTGACCCACTAAATAAATATTATTTTGTCAGAGTGAATAGGTTAAGTTAAACTAGTGATACATGTTGCTGGAGGCTAAATACAGGGAATTCATGATGTTTCTGCTGTAAGAGGTTGAGCTGCATTTTTCAGTTAAACCTCCCTTACGGTTTGGATGTAGCATATATCTTTACATTTAATCAGTTCTCAGGTTATGGTTGACACTAGTCTAAGGTTAAAGTCAGATTATTTCCAAGAGATAAATGCTTTTAGCCCTTTGTGAGACTCACAAGCAAAATAAAACAGGTCAAAGCAGGGCTTATTTTAGCTGAGCAAACATTTACTGAGTTCTGCTTATGTTCAGGGCACCATGCTGAGCACTGCAGAGCACATGGATGGGTAAGACTTAACTGCTCTTAAGCATCTTACAGTTGAGGGAGACAAGACATGTACATAAATAACTGCAAAACAGCAAGACTGGAGAAATCCCATGATAAGGTTACAAAGAGCACCCAAGGGGGTTGAGATGAAGAACAAGGACTTGGTAGAGAAGTGACAACTGAAGGTTGAGACACGTGAGGAACACATGCTGAGTGAAGTAAATAGCTCATGTGTCAGGAGATTACAGGATTTCTGTCTGGCTGGCAAGGAAGGGTAACTGTCCAGTGCAGCATCAAATGACTCCAAAAATTAGACTGGGGCTGTACCCAGGAAGGGCACTGAATATTAGAGCAAAGAGTTCATATTTGATTCATTAATCACTGCGGGGACCCCTTGGGTGGTGTTGAGGGAGCTACCAGTTACGGTGCTCTCAGCTGTAAACACAGAACCCAAAATCCAACAAACTGGTTTAAATAATAAAGACATTATATAATCGCACACAACAAGAAATCTGGACTTTAATAATTCCAGAGTTGGTTAATCCAGTGACACCATGGCTGAGGTCAGCGTCTCTTGTCATCCCCTTAAGGTCACAATATGACGGCCACCACTCATCTTTATCATGTCTTCCCAAAATCACATCCAAAGGCAAGAGGCAGGCAGAAGGGTTCTCCTTGGGCATATGTCTCTTTTTTTTTTTGGCGGTATGCGGGCCTCTCACTGTTGTGGTCTCTCCCGTTGTGGAGCACAGGCTCCGGACGCGCAGGCTCAGCGGCCATGGCTCACGGGCGCAGCCGCTCCGCGGCATGCGGGATCCTCCCGGACCGGGGCACGAAGCCGTGTCCCCTGCATCAGCAGGCGGACTCCCAGCCACTGCGCCACCAGGGAAGCCCCATATGTCTCTTTTTATCAGGGAGATAAATTTACAGAAATGCCTACCTAGCATTTATCTTGGTCCCACAGACCAGAAATTTTACACTTTTCTCCCCTAAATCAATCACTGGGAAGAGGAATGGCATTACCATTTTTGGTCTAGGCCAACATGGTTACCCCGTGATTTTGAGGGAGGGGCCCAACTTCCCTGAGCACATTACAGCCCAGACCTGAACAGAATGTGGGTTTTCTTACAGAGAAAGAAGGAGAGAGTAGGTATTTCATAGGCAGCCAGGCTTGTGCCACAGGGTGCATGTCCATTGGAACTGCTTATTTGACCCATGAATCTGGAAGTGGTGAACGAGAGGTACTGGACAGGACGAGAATGGAGGGTTAGGGAGCCATCACATTAATTGAGGCTCTGGGTTACCTGTGGGGACCTCCAGCAGCAAGACTAGAAATAAAGATGTTCTAGGGATAGACTCTGGAGTCAAAGTTTCCAAAGGGCTGTGGAGAAGAGAGGGACAGTTCCTCCTCTGTTCTCCAGAGCAGGTCCAACTGTAGCTCTGTTACTTCTTGGACTTTCATCAGATGATTAATTAGAGTGTTGGATGGATAATGAACACATGTGAAGCCCACGGTCTACAGGAGAGAGAAGGAGGCATGGATCAAAGACGACCCTATAGTTTTAAAGAGCATTCAGAAAGGAAAAGGGGGAGGGGAGCTGATCTGGGGCAGGGAGGAGCCTGGACGTGCAGTCTGAAGTGCTGCTGGCCATCTGTGTGGACGCCAGTTATCAGCACCTAGAAATCCAGATCTAGAACAGTCTTCTGAGAGCCAGGAAAGAGGCAGGAACCACAGGAGTGCCTGTGCCACAAAAGAAGTCAAAGAGGATAGGATCCGATACGAATGCTGAATTTAGGGATTGGTAGTTGACCTTTGCAGGCACCTTTAGTAGAAAATAATGACAGAAGATAGTTTCTGAGGGAGAGTAGAAGGAAGCTGGGACAACCTGTAGCCACGACAGATGACTCTTCAAAAATTTTGGCACAGAAGAGAAGGTTGGCAACCTAAAGCTAAACAATGCATGCACTGGACATCTTACCTAAAGCAGCTTATTTAAAGGCAGTTCAAGGGCTCCAGCTGAATTTATAACACTTCAGTGACAAGCCTGAGGTCATTAGGAGTATCTGCTTCTGCTTCAGCACAAGCAAGAAAAAGGAAAAAGGTTTCTGTATAATGTGAACAGAATGGCTCTCCTCTATCAAACCCAGGTCTGTCTTGTGCCAGTTCACAGTGGACGTGGTGGGGGTGGGGGTGGGTTCCAGAATGTCCAACCCATGGTCAGGCTCTTCCAGAGACTCACATTTGCCGGGTGACTGGGGCCCGCAGTGTGCCCCGCCCTGGGAGGGCCGATGATGGAGAGGGGCAGGACCTGGGCAGAAGGCACACCACAGCCGCGCCCCCCCCCCCGGAGCAGCAGGCTCCACATTTTTTTTATCAGGCACCCCTGCCAGTAGGAGCTATCTGAGCATGTATACTTACGTATTTTCAATAATATAAATATATTGTGATATACTATAATATACTGTGCCTATCACAAGACACATCCCATCAGTACTTTCAAAGCATGAGAGAAAACAAACACCACTGGAAATCCCAACAGTTTCTTCCCACCCCCCTTTGGAGCACAGACACCTGCTGCAGAGACCCGCTCTAGAACCTGGTATTGTAGGAAAGACAACCGTGTTAGCCCACGTGAGCTCCTGACGGTGTCTTTCAGAGTGAGAGGAATAAGGGTGGCGAGTCAGGCCTCACAGATCATTAACAAACACAGCCAGGGGGCAGCAGAATACGGCACGGAGCACCCATTTTTCTATACCTTTTCCTTTTAGTTACCTCATACTGTTCAGGCCGATTCCCTTTCAAGCCTGCTGACCAGTGCCCATCACCCCTGTCACCGCCCAGACGGGGAATGGGCCCGAGAAGGGGGGGCCTGGTTCCTCTCCCCCAAGCCCTGGGCGTCCTGGGGGATGCTTCATGAGCTGGAGGTGGAGTGGGAGGGAGGGTGGGCAAGAGGTTTGAAACAGGTAGGTGAGGAGGCGGATTGCTCCAAGAGTATGAAAAGCCAGCGCACGGTGTTCCTTTGCATGTCCAGCCTCATTGTGAAGACTATGGGTTCTGGAGTGAGACTGGGGGGTTCCGACGGCAGCTCATCAAGCTTCTCACCACCTGGGGCAGCTCCACGCCCTTAGCTGTTGTCATGTCACTGCTGATGCTGACAGTGACCCCGAGTGTGTTCTTAGGGAGGTAGCGCTCGCTCCCCGTCCCGCTGGCTCCTTCCGCGGCTGTTCCTCTAACTCCCGGCACCGCTTTTTCTGCAGACGTCCCCAAAGAGCAGCAGCTGCAGGCAGTGCAGGCGGCCGTCCTGCTGCTGGCCGATGAGAGCAGGGAGGTGTTGCAGACGCTGCTGTGCTTCCTCAACGACGTGGTCCATGCGGTGGAGGAGAATCAGATGACGCCCATGAACCTGGCTGTGTGTCTGGCCCCCTCCCTCTTCCATCTGAATTTACTGAAGAAGGAAAGCTCCCCCAGGTGGGTTTTCCTCAGCAAGAACGCTAATCCCAAGCCAGGTATTCCCCACGGCTACTTAAAAAAACTCCTGCTGTATTGCAAGTTGGGGATTTGTCAGCACTTCATTCATAATCAGAAAATGTTTGGAGGAACATAATTCATGTGGCTCAGCATCAGGGAATTGTCAAAGTAGCACAGTGTCCTCTGTGATCCCGAAAGCCTGGAGTTTTGTTTTGTTTTGCGTGTGTTAGTGGGAAGGAGGGAAAAAGGACACAAAGTAGTATTTTACAATCTTCAATTTTAAAAGGCTAGATTTAAGGCCCAAGCACGGGCAGCTTGCAGTGAAGTAGTTTCAAACTTGGGAAAAATAGATTAATTTCTCCCCCAACAGTTATTCCTGCCCGTGTATTATTCCAAGGTTTTCCATTATGAACTGTCAAACTCTTAGCCTGACTCAGGATATCTAAGATGTGTAGTCACTGTTTCTATTTGGAAATGGGAAAGTATGGGATCTGGGTGACATCTAGGCATGAAGACATGACAAAGGGATGAGCTGTGTACTGTGAAAAGCTCTTGGGTTTGGGATCCGCTGAAGACTCTCCCCCTCAATTACAGAGTCATCCAGAAGAAATATGCCTCCGGGAAGCCAGATCAAAAGGACCTCAGTGAGAATCTGGCCGCAGCTCAGGGGCTGGCCCACATGATCATGGAATGCGACAGACTTTTTGAGGTAAGTGAAAGGCTCCAACTGCCTTCCTTATAGCTCTTGGAACTCGATAAGATGCTTGGAATGGTTGCTGCATTTATGGCTTATTTCTGTTTTCTCCTGATTTTATGACAATGGTACACTCAATAGGTCTGGTCTTTGCCTCCTAGAAATGTGAGGAGTGAGCTTATATATTGAATAGTTGAGGCTTTGACAGTTAAAGACACTTGGGTTTACCATGATGATGGATTTTATGAACAGTTGCATCAACTTCAGGTGCCAGGTCCCAGGCCAGCCAGCCAAGTACGGTATATTTGATGTAACCTCGGGACTTGATTAGATTCAGTGTGTGCGTGCGTGTGTGTGTGTGTGTGTGTGTGTGTGTGTGTGTGTGTGTGTGTGTGTGTGATACTGAACAATCGCTGTGAACTCAGGATCAGTAACAGCTTATGAATACAGCCACAGATACGCTAAAGGATTAAGTGAACTAGACTTCCGGCATACTTGTTGGGGCAAAGTTGTCATTTGCAAAAGGGAAAAGTGTGCCACAAAGGTAAAGCCACCTCTAAGTCATGCTTGACGTTCCCCTTAAGTCTGTGCACTTTAAGTTTCCTGAGCCCAAGTTTTGCCAAATTGAATAAAAATGTATAATAAGTAAAATCAAAGGAAAACGGAAAGAATGAATGGGAAGTCATGGCGGTGTTTTAAATAATAAATATAGCCTCAAACAGATTTGGGTTTCCTGACTTGAGGAAGCCCGCCCCCGCCCCCTTCACTGATCTTAGACAAATATCTCTTGCCCCACGGCACTCAGCCCATTGCCTGTACCGTGGTCTTTGGCGATGCTACTTTGTTTTCTCTGTCAGTCTCAGCATTTCTGTAGCTCAGTGCGTCACTCTTCTGTGCATCCATCGGTTCAGGTCCCGCTTGAGATGGTGGCCCAGTCTCATAACTCATATATGGAGGCTGAGATCCATCCCCCAACTCTGGAAGACCTGGGGGCCCAGCTGGAGGAGAGCGGGGCCACTTTCCACACGTACCTGGAGCATCTCATCCAGGGCCTCCAGAAGGAAGCCAAGGAAAAGTTCAAAGGATGGGTCACGTGTTCCAACACAGACAACACAGAACTTGCTTTCAAAAAGGTAATCTCTCAGGTCTTGGAAAAAATTACCCCCAAAGAGCCAAGTCTTACAACCAGGGATTTGTTTTGCCTTTTTTTTTTGGCGATATGCGGGCCTCTCACTGTTGTGGCGTTTCCCATTGCGGAGCACAGGCTCCGGACGCACAGGCCCAGCAGCCATGGCCCAAGGGCCCAGCCGCTCTGGGGCATGTGGGATCCTCCCGGATTGGGGCACGAACCCACGTCCCCTGCATCTGCAGGCGGACTCTCAATCACTGCGCCACCCAGGAAGCCCTGTTTTGCTTTTAAAATGGCTACTCTGTTCCCAGGGCTTCACCACACACGAATCAGTCAACCACCCACTCTAGAGTCTGTTTGCACATAATCAGACTGCAGACTGTGGAGCCAGACTGCTGGAGCCCAGGCCTGGCTCTGTCCCGTAGCTGTGTGACGTTGGGCGAGTCACTCGCCTCTCTGTGCTTCCGTTTTCTTATTTGCATAATGGACATAATAGTAGGACCACTGTCAGAGGAGGGCTGTTTTAAAATCAGAACAACGCCTGGTACACAGGGAGCACTGTGTGTTGGTGGTTATCATTTTTATTATCAGTATTCTTCTTTTCAGCTTAAGGATAAACATTTAAAAATTCTAAACCTGAGGTATTCAGAGTCACTCTTTCAAGTTACATACTCAGTGATGTTTTTTGAACACCCAGTGAAGGATGGTAGGTTGTGTTGGAACCAGCAACCTCTTCAGCATGTGCTGGTATCTTTCCCAAGGTGGGAGACAGGCATCCGCTGAAGCTGTGGAAGGCTTCTGTGGAGGTGGAAGCACCCCCCTCGGTGGTTTTGAATCGCGTGCTGAGGGAGCGCCACCTGTGGGATGAGGATTTCGTGCAGTGGAAGGTGGTGGAAACCCTGGACAAGCAAACAGAAATCTATCAGTACGTGCAGAACAGCATGGCGCCTCACCCTTCCAGAGACTTCCTGGTTCTCAGGTAAGCCTGCCTCCGGGATTTAAGATGCTCTGCTCCAAAAGCCAGGTAAGAGCTGCAGATTTAGGCATTTCAGAGGTCTCCCACCTAAGTTCAGCCTCCACTGTTAACACTCAGCCGGCCCTCATTTCTCTCAGTGAAATCTGACTTTGCTGTGTTTATGCCCGACTTCCTGCTTCTTTCACCCAGTTCACAGCTCTGCTGGGTTCTCTTATGGCCCCTTTCATTATGGAGCATACAGTTTATTAAGCCATAAATATTGTTCATTTCCTCAGACCAGAGTCCCCCAAAATAACTGCTGTTTGTCCAGTTGTACTTTCTGCTAAATTATGCAGATTGAACCTGGCTAGCTTTTCTCCTGATTTTGCCTTTCTCCCCCTGGGAAAGCAACTCTTCAGTGGTGTGACTCTCAATCTGGAGTGTGTGAAACTTCAAAATTCCTCTGTATAACTTCAGCTGCTCATAACTCATTACCAGGCATGGAAACCTTGACAGAGCCCTGAAGGTCCAACCGTGCTGAGACACTTGGATGTCCAGAAAGGTTTCAGGGCCTGACAGGGCTTGCAAGGCTGGTGTCTACTGTCGAAACATTACCTCTAATAGATTTTTGGGTTGAGTTCTGGACCCCTGCTCTCTGGGTTTGGAGGGGGATGCTCAACCAACAATAGGAAGTTGCACAGTAGAGCTGTGTACATGGGCTGGTGAGTCAGTACTGAATCAGAAAGAAGAGGGACTGAGGATTCTAACAAACCCACATAAAATATAATTAAATCAATACATCCTTTTTTTTTATTGATAACTGATGGTGAATACTGTCTCTTCTCATATATTAGCAGTATAAAAAGAATCACTAGTGAAATTCCCAAATGTGTAATTTAAATAGTTTATTAAACTAGTCTTGATGGCAAACTAAAGGTTACTTTTCACATGGGCTATTTATGCCTTTGGAATTGGTCCTTAGGACCTTGAATTTTAAGGGTCATTTTTTCCCTAAGTATATGTGTTTATCTTAGCAACCTTGGGACCCTGGTGGAGAATGTGGGCCGTTGTAAGGGTGGCTTATTACTGCAGTTATTGGGACTCACCTCGTGGAAGTTAAACTTTACGCCTTCACTCTTGCAAGCAGAAAATCAAATCGTTCTAGGATGGCAGCCACAGGGGGGATGGAGCCATGCCATAGCCTGCCTCTTCGCTCCCTTACAGGAGGCTGAGGGCCGGAGTCCGTGCATGGAACCGTCCTCCTTCCACTCATCCTGCAGTGCCACCCACCTGCTACGTCTCATGTATCATTCCATCACTGCCTCGTGCCAGGCACTGTTGGAGGCTCCGGACATAATGCAGGGAGCACAACAGACCGCAGCCCTGCTCTCTTGGGATTTATATTTTATTAGGGAGATAGAGTCAATAAATAATAAGCAAGGGGGATAGGAATAGAGTCAATAAATAATAAGCAGGGGGATAGGATTACTTATCTTAGGGGGATAGGAAGGGGTGGAATTTCAAATATAGTGGTCAGAGCAGAGTCTCACTGTGTTGATAGTTGATCCAAGACTTGAAGAAGAAGGTGGGTGGACCACAAGGCTGAGGGAGAAGAACTCAGCACCCAAGAAGATTAATAATGAACCTGATGTGTTTCCTGCAGCAGGAATTCCTTGTGATTATGATACAAGAGGTAGAAAGTGACTGGTATGGAAGAGGAGTCCAGGGCTGAGGCACTTCCTGTTTTCAGAGCGTCTCCCTGTCTAGGCTAGCACGCATGAGGCTGGTCTCCTCTTGGGATTACCATGTTCATGTCTTACTTTATCCCTTTCTCTAGCTCCTCAGGAGCTTCCAGTGATACTCACTGAAGCTTCTTCCATTTTATCCCCACAAATCTGTACAACTTTCAGTCTTTGTTATTAATCACAGCCTTATGCATGAAAAGAGAATGGTCACACCCATGGAGAAGTTGCTAAGCATTTGTGTAGGGCTTGCTTATTCCCTAATTCTAGGTAATAGTTCCTCTTTCTGGTGAGGTAGGCCAGGACGAAGTTAGAGATGAGATAACTAAGCAAGGGGATAGGATTTGTAACATAAATAACTAAGATTATAATAATGAAACCTACATCCTACGGTAGAAATGGTTGCTACAGAGATGCTCTCATGATTCCTGACTTCCATCTACAACCTTTTCCCAAGTGGTACACCCCCCCATGTTTGAATAGCTCCAGTAACAGTGAACTCACTACCCCTCATATAGCCCATTCCATTTTTGAAGAGTACACATTGTGAGACGGCTCTTGTCTGCATGAATTAAAACATACCTTCATATCTCTGCTTTCTGGAGGCAAATCAACTGTATTTATTTCTTCTCCCGCTCAAGAGCCACTCAGGGACTTGAAGGCAATTAGTAGTCTGCCATGTACCTAGTTTTCTTCAAGCTAAGCATCCTTTCAGACTTGAGTTGAGCACCGCCTCCTCCAGGAAGCCATCCCCTGTACGTGATCTCAGAGCGCTCTTTGCACAGCCATATCACTGCACTTGCCGTGGTGCTTTAGGGTTCTCTTGGTCTGTTTCTCCTCCTGGGCTGTAGACCTTTATGTCTTCAGTGGCTTCTCAGAGCTTGGCACACCCAGTAGATGTTTGCTGAAAGACTTGAATGGGCGAGTCCTAATTCCCAAACGGTGAGACCAGCCCTTCAGTATTGTGCAGGAGCCTCTGCAGCCTCAGTTTGGGATTCCGAAAGCAGCTCTGAAAGCTGCAAGACCGTTTCTGACCTCTGGGTCAGAGGGCTGAGACCCTTGCTTTCAACTGCACGGCATAAAGTTCACATGCACTTATGGAAACCATTAGCTTAGTCCAAGTAACTGGGCTTGGAATTTGAGCAAGAAAATATAAGTGTGAGCCTCAGCGCTGTGCTCCGGGTTTTCTTTCTCCCTCAGCCCTAATTCCGACGTGCGGGTTTGTTTTGCTGCAGGACCTGGAAGACTGATTTGCCCAAAGGAATGTGCACCCTGGTGTCCCTCTCCGTGGACCACGAGGAAGCCCAGCTCATGGGTGGTGTGCGGGCTGTGGTGATGGACTCTCAGTACTTAATGGAGCCGTGTGGGTCAGGCAAGTCGAGGCTGACCCACATCTGCAGGGTGGACCTGAGGTGAGCAGGCTCCTGGGGGCGGCAGGCACAGGCTTGCCACACATCCGCTGGGGCCGTTTCTCATCTGGTCCCTTATTTCACTGTCCTTTATTCCTCTTGCCATTAACATGCTTTCTAGAAGATTATGTGTGCCTTCCCCTCGCTTTTCCTCTTTCTGCCCTTGCTAAAATTCTGACTTTCAGGAGAAAGTCCTCTGCTCATCTTTATTTTCCGTTTTGTCCCACTTATACTTCTGTGCTTTGGGCATGGGGCAAACACCAGAACTAGAGCCCGGGATGTAGTAGGTGCTCAGTAAATACGAGTCCTCTTGTGTTTCTTTTCAGCCTGTCCCTTTTGCGGCTCCCTCCAGTTGCCCTCCTTTGAGAGGGAACTAACTTAAATCCAACCCCTTCAAGGCATTCATGAAGCTGAGTTCTTGGTCTGGGTGGATATAAGCTGGGTTTTCTCAGTAAATTCTAGAATTAAGTCTGAATCACCCTGAGGAGACGCTATCATTTTAAAGCACCTGGTGAATACTGTAAAGATAGATAGACCAAATACTTGGCCAAAAAGGCATTTTCAAGGCCCCTGTTGACATAACGAGGTGTTCAGAACCTCGGCGCAGCAGCCCCGAGTGTAATGCAGGTGGACTGACATTCAGGGCACAAGCACAGCCCTATCGACCATGACAAATTGTTGTGATTTGGAAAAAGAATTTCCCACTTCCTTTCTGATTTTTGTCCCCGCAGAGGTCATTCCCCAGAATGGTACAATAAAGGCTTTGGACATCTGTGTGCAGCGGAAGTTGCCAGGATTAGAAACTCTTTTCAGCCCCTCATTGCTGAAGGTCCAGAAACTAAAATCTGAGTTTTCCCCAGTGTGACATCAAACTCAGGGAAGAGGAAGTGAAAGCAAACACTTGTGGGAGAGAGTGTGCGCGTGAGAAAGCAAGGGAGAGAGAGAAAGCGATTGACAATGCTTAAAAATGGAAGCACTGAGAAATCGGAATGTTGAAGATGCAAGAATTTCTGAGAACTTTCCTAGCCTTCCTGGAGACGGCTACATCCCTACTAATATAATATTTTTAAAAATCAGAACATTTATCTATGTTACTTAAAATTAAATGGATTATTCATTGTGCATTGCCTAATTTGCTATTTAAAGGCTTCTAAGAAGCGTATTCTTAACTGTAAATAAATGTATGTATAGCATATGTACATATGTGTGTATATCTCTATCTGCTGTATATATGTAAAATATCAATTTTATATATAATTGCATATTTTGAAAAGGAACAAGTCTGACTCGGTGAGTCCCTTCCTCACCTGGTTCTTTCCAAGTTGTTCTGGGCGCTGTATCCCCGCCATCCTGTAAGCTGAGCAGGATCTGCTGCTGACGCCAAAGTGTGAAAATACGTAGTCTGCCCTGATGTCGTACCAAAGATTAGCCAACCAAAGGAAAACACATTAAATGGTTCTTACATGTTGTCAGCTTGTTTGTGTTATTCAGACACGGAGAGTGGGCTGTTGGATAAAGCAAGGAAAACAATATTTAGTCCTCTTTAAAGCAAAGAAGTGGGTGAGGAGTCGTTCCCGCATTTAAGGCTAGATTACCGCTTGCCATGGGGCCAGCAGATACAGCTTTCAGTGGCATGTTAGACGCCTATGGACCACTGGAGTCAGCCCAGTGACTGAAAGAGAGCCTGTATTTCCCTGCTGATTAGAGCTGAGTGTAATAGCTTTTGCAGAGTCACAGCCAAAGGGAGCCTCTGTGTTCTGTTGAGTTTTCGTTACTTACATTTCATAATGTTCTTAAACGTCATTCTAGTTGACCAGTGGCCTATTTGTCCACAGTTAATTGGCATTTTCTTACCAATGTATTGCACTGAATTTAACTCTGGACACCAGATTAAGGGAGATGATGGTCATTCAAGAGTCCTGGACCATTTCAGCTTCAGGGAATTCTACTATTGCTACATATGATGCTCTTAAGATAGAATTCATTAAAGTTTTGCAATCTGAAAGACAGGGTTTTTAAACTAATGTTAAGACCAAAACTGTCTTCTTCAATTAGTTTTAGAAAATATAAACAGGTCTGTTAAATTCCATGTTTCTTCATTAGTCAGTCAAGCTACCTATGCATTTGACCCAACCTTATTTATTATTGTATAGACTAAGCAAATGGACTATCCTTAACCAATTGCTAATGGATTTAAGTTGGTTTTTTATTGTAATTCAACAATGCTAGAGAGGAAGATAATTTATTGTGTTTGGTTTCAGGGAGAGATTGGTATCATAACTTAGCAATTCATGCTGGAGAAAAAAAAATTAAGAGTGTTTTCCTTTCTTTTTATATTGTATGCATTTATATAATGTTTTCTTTTATCAGCAATGTGCAATTCTTTTATTGAGAGAAATAAAAATGCTATATATGAGTTTTGTATGGTACCAGTAAAATCATACTGTTTAAATTGTGATCTAGGGATTTTTTGTTTCCTTGCCTACTGAAAAAGGTGGCAGCAAACCCATAATTTTCCATTTGGGCAACGCCCTGTGAGCAAAACAAATTCACTTCTTCCATACATCTTAATTGTAACCACATAAGCCAGATTACTTTAATATGCATAGACAAGATCATTAGTGAATTTTAATTTACCTTAATGCTGATCCTACTCCAGAGATGGGATCATATGTTTTCAGGAAATATGACAGGCACACAAGGATGAATGGTGTCGTGTCACCTAGAGCAGGCCTTTTCCAGCCTTAGCAGCACACGGATTACCCGCAGATATTGTTACAATAAGCCTCTGATTCAGGCAGTCTGAGGTGGACCTGAGCTTCTGCATTTTGAACCAGCTTCGGGGATGCCCAGCCTGCCAGCCCGAAGACCACACCTTGAGAAGCTGGGACCTAGAGGATACTTAGAATAAAAGCACACATGGTTTTATTTCTGACTCCCCTTCTCTTTAAATTACCTGACTTCTTAATTTTTATGCACATACTAATCACATCACTGCTGCCTAACAACACAGTGCCTCTTAAAAAAAAAAAAAAAAAAGGAGAAAGATGCAGCAAGCTTGTCAAATACTACAGTATTTTATTCACTGTTATCTTGCCAATAGAAATAAAATATGATATTGCCTTTAAATATTATATTTATACTATTTATACTGCATGTATATCTTTACCTCAACTGTTGGTATCAATCATCAATTGTAAAATACTTGCCAAGGCAAAGAAATTTATATACGTTAAATATACCCTTTTTTTTTCTATAAAATACATGTTGATTTTCATGCTTCATCCTGTAAGTAGAAAACCTGCTTCCTGAGGAAGAGTTCTCTCTAAAAAGCTTGCCATGAGTTTGACGCCTCAGTACTACAGTCAAATCTCCCTCAAATATGAAGATTCATATAAAAGTCTAGATTGTTATCTACAGAACTTCACTAACAGTCTGGGTGCCTTAACCTATGTCTAAGGCATTATGGTGATGGGTAGGGATTTCTTTTACATTTCATTGTTCTTAAATCTAGAAGTTTTAAGAACACTTTTAGGAGTATTTTTATGAAGGATTCAGTGAACTCCAGCTACAATTCCATTTTCACTGAGTGCACAAGAAACAGACTTGATGACGTGACTTATGGCTGCACCACTGGACCATGAAGAGTAGCCACATCTGACTCTGAGCCTCTTGCTTTCCATCCTTGTACAGTGAGCCCTCCATATCTGTGGGTTCTGCATCCAAGGATTCAACCAACCACAGATCAAAAATACTCCAGGGGCTTCCCTGGTGGCGCAGTGGTTGAGAATCTGCCTGCCAGTTCAGGGGACATGGGTTCGAGCCCTGGTCTGGGAAGATTCCACATGCCGCGGAGCAACTAGGCTCATGAGCCACAACTACTGAGCCTGTGCATCTGGAGCCTGTGCTCCGCAACAAAGAGAGGCCGTGATAGTGAGAGGCCCGCACACCGCGATGAAGAGTGGCCCTCGCTCGCCACAACTAGAGAAAGCCCTCGCACAGAAACGAAGATCCAACACAGCCAAAAATAAATAAATAAATAAATAAATAAATAAAAATACTCCAAAAAAAATTCCAGAAAATTCCTAAAAGCAAAACTTGAATTTGCTGTACACTGGCAGCTATTTACATATCATTTGCATTGTATTAGGTATTACAAGTAATCTAGAGATGATTTAAAGTATATGAGAGTATGTGCATGGGTTATATGCAAATACTACACCACTTTATATAAGGGACTTGAGCAATCCCTGGATTCTGTACCTGAAGGGAGTCCTGGAGCTAATCTCCTGTGGGTACTTAGGGACCACTGTACTTGTTCTGTGCTTTATTTCTAAAAGATGACAAAGGTCACCCCTAACTAAGCAAGCAGGAGCTCTCGAACATTCTCAGCTATAGGCTACAAGAGCCACAGCAGCCCAAACAACCATATGCCCACATAAAAATGATCCAAACTCTGCTCTCTGCTCCTCTCCCTCATTCTTTCTTCCATTACTTGCAAGTTTTGCTTTCATAGGCAAAGGAGGAATTTCAACTGTCCCTTTTCCTCTTCTATGTGAAAGAAGAGAACATGGTCATTCTAGCAGCCACAGGCAACCAGTGTCATCCTGGGACCCTGGAGCATATGAATTCAAACTTGATTCTGAGTCTACCTCATGAAATTCTTAGGCATGAAACTGTTCTACTTCTTTTTTTAAAAAATATTTTATTTATTTAGGCTGTGCTGGGTCTTAGTTGCGGCACGTGGGATCTTCGCTATGGCGTGTGGCCTTCTTAGTTGTGGCATGCGTACGGGATCTAATTCCCTGACCAAGGATTAAACCCGGGCCCCCTGCATTGGGAGCGCAGAGTCTTACCCACTGGATCACAAGGGAAGTCCCTGTTACACTTCTGTCTTTTGATATTTGGCCACAAAAAAAATCAGTCGTATGATTTCTTCTCAGGAAATTAATGTAAAGGAATTAAATAGATCCTAGCCAAGTGGAGTGTCACCGTTCCTGTAGCGCTTACAATGATTCTGAATTGTTGAGGTGGAGATGCCCAGCCACTAGTGGGACATACAGGTCAAACATTATGAGAGTGACCAGGGCCCAAAGCTAGAGGTACATCCCATGTTCACTTCAGTTGTGTTATCCCTGCCTCTCCTGACTACACACATAATGGTCCAGTGATACCAAGCCACTCTTTCACATCTCTGTGACTTGCCATTGACTTTCTCCCCATCTTGTCAGTCACGTGATAGCCTGTTTATTCCTCAAAACCCTATTTGAGCATCATTTGCTCCATGGACTTTCCTGACCACCCATCTGAAATCCACCTGCTTCCTTATATATTACTCTTATTGCATGAATCACATCTCATTTAGTTATTTGGCAATAAATCTAACTCTCCCACTAGATTATGATCTCTTAGGAACATGGACCATGTCTTACTCAGCTTTGAAACTCCATCCCATAGGACACTTTCTGCTACACCATTCTATAGGTATTTAAAATGACCTGGGCATCTGAAAACTGGGCATAAAGATGATAGAAGCCATAGAAATGGAAGTCATAACCTAGTGTGGAGTATTCCAAAGCCAGTGAAATAACTCACATTTTGTGTTTGACTACTACAGCTCTCCAATAGCACAAACAATGGAGAATTAGCTGGTCTTCCAAGAAGTTAAATGCAACCGTTTCTGAAATTATCAAATGCTGAACATCTGTTTGCAGAAAATAGGACAGTTTGATTAGTTCATTCATTCAACAAATATGTGTGGAGCACTCATGATGTGCCAGACACTGTTCTAGGCATTCAGTAAACAAAACAATAAATGAAATCAGTGAATAAAACAGACAAAAAATCCCTGTCCTCATGGAACTTATGGTCTAGAAGAGAAAACAGCCAAGAAACAAGATAAATAATTGACCAGAGAAGCTCTACAGAGAAAAATAAAATCAGAGGAAGGAGATTAGATAGGGAAAAGCTTACCAAGGGCCTGGGGTAAAGAACTATCAAAATGACATGCTGTTTGATTATTTTTCCTCAAGCTCTGCTGGAGCTGCTAAAATTACAGTGTTGGGAATGATCAATTCATCAATTTGCTGAGACCTTATTCCTTGTGAAGGAAAATAAGTAACAGCAGCAGGAGGAAATGAAGCCTCTGGCTGCATCTTTCAAGCCCATCAGAAAGCAGGGTTCCAGCAAGCGATGCACAGGTGCTGGAAGCCCACATGTCCCAGATGGGAACATTCAGTTCTTAGGCCCAGATGATAAGTCCCCTGCTGTTCTGATTTCCAGATACAAGCATGTCTCCAAGGCCCCCGGATACTTCGCGGAGTTCTCGAGACAAGCATCTCCACGTGCTCGAAGGCAGGCTCCCTTGTCAGCTTGGTTCATCCTCACACCCACACCCACCCCTGCTGACCACGACCACAACAGTTCAGCTCACTGCTGGGACCCACCCTGGCACCAGAGTCCTGGGAGGGGAGGAAGACCCCGTTCTCCCCGTGATACCTCCTTGTGGAGCTGCTCCAAGTGCTTCCCTAAATCCCCACAACACACCTGAGACCAGGCGTCACTTGGGATAAGGCTCAACCAACACACCGGGGAGACAGTACAAGGCAGGATGTAACTTAAAGCTGCAGCCCCAAGGGGCTCTGCTTCCAGTGCCTTAACCCACACCTGACCCCAGGCGCTCTCACCTCTCCGCCTGCCCCCCCACCCCCTCCACCCCCGCTCAGGCTCAGACTCCACGCTGGGAACAGTGAACGCCTCCCGCAGGGAAGGGTCTGACCCAGCCCACCTCACTCCCACTCCCCAGCTTCAGAACGTGAAGAACAACTGCGCTGCTGGCAGGAGGCGGAAGACCCACCTTCACGCCCTGGCCGCGTGGCTCCACCCCAAGACCCAGAAGATCATCACACAAGGGACGCGCGCGGATTCGTTGCCATAAATCCTAGTCATCTCGGGAAACATCACCACGCCGCCGCTGTGGGCACAGCGGGTGCCGGCCCTATGTCGGGCTTCCTCGCCTTCCCTTCCCATCCCTGTGCTCACGTCAAGGGTGGCAGACGCCTCTGCCATCCCCGTGGTTATCAGTCATCCTGTCTGCTGAAAAGCTGATTGGTGACATTTTCATATGAATGTTTCAGACAGAGTTGCTCCACTGTAGATTTGCATAATGAAGTCTTTTATCTCCTTATCTGGCATTAGAGGCTTTCTCTCCTGTTACAAGGATTTCAGGCATCAGCAGGTAGGTGGAAGCTATTTTTGGAATACGGAAGAGACTGAAATGCTACTACCACAGTACAAAAAAAGCCTAACCCTGAAAGTCACCTGACCTTGTTGTTCTCCCGTGGTTGGAGTGTACGGGTCATTTCCCCACGTGGTCCCTGATTCCCTGGGGAGGCTTGGGTGCTGTGTTCCCAGGAGAGTCAGAGATGGGAGCTCTGCCTGGATTCAGAAGGGCTCTTCCAGGGAGCCTCCTCCAGCCTGACCCTTCCTTCCCCCGTCTCTCTCCCCCTCCACCACTGCAAAGCTGTCTGAATCTCATCTTTTCTTCTCAGAGAATCCCCACCCCCATTCCTTGGTTTCCAAGCCCATCAAGCAGTTTTCTGAAGAAATTCCCAGGATGGTGTGTGGCATCCCTTTTGTCTCAATCCTGTAATGTGCAGCTTTGCCAGGAACTTTGTGCCCAAGGAAGACCCGAGGGAGCATCCAGGAGGTGCCAGCCAGGGATAAGGGACCCTGCCTTTCTGGGGGCTGGATTCCCATATACACCAAATGGACAAGAGTTGAAGACGCTGAGTGAGGAAGGGCCAAACTGGGGAGTACTGGGCAAACAAACAAGACCACTGGATGTGGTGGTGTTCGTTGCTTTTCCTGATGTCCTTCAGTTTCTCTGCTGCTCCCTCATCTACAGGGGAAAACTAAAAGGAAACAGGCACAACTATCAATTCCGTCTGAGCCACAGATAGTGTGCTGACTGCCGCAGAGATGGGCGGTTCAAATTACTTTGGAGGAAAGGGCTATCCGATGGTCTGAAATTAAACATGCTCTGGAAGGAGCAGCTGCGGGGGAGCGGTGGGGGGAGGACCACCCATCGCTGGGATCTGCTGGAGCTGCCCTCTGGGACCCCGCACACGAGGAACACATACTCCAGAACAGGGCTTCCCTTCTAGAACTGCATGAAACTGAACATTCAGCTCGAAAAACACTTGGAAGTGGCAAAGGCGAGTGGATTTCTTCTTAGTTTTCTATCAGTTTGCAGTGGTTCCAGTATAAACCCAGCAGCGTATGTTTATACCCAGAAGCATAAAAAACATCAAAGCAGTGATGCAGCATTTCAAACAACAAAAAAAATGCAGCAGCAATTTGGCTGCCTTGTTCACTTTTCAGACGGTTGTGTAGCTGTCCTGATCTTCCCCATAAATCTCAAAATTCACATTTAACAGAGCCCTGCTCCCCTGTATTCCTGATGCTGCAAAGCAGGCATCAAGCAGGATCCTTTACATGAAATGAAGGAATTTTAACCAGTCATACATACAGCAACAGTTGTCACTTCTTGAAACTGAATAAGAACAAGAGGGGGACAGTTTTTCTCTGAGAAGACAGAAGAACACTTTGCAATTTTTGTTCAAGGATTGGGGAGTATAAAATGAACAGCTGCTCGTGTTCCCACATTCCAGTGTCAAGATGTTATGCAGAGATCAGAAATAGACCCAAGGTGACGTCCATCATGTGAGCCATGCAAATGAGGAAAAGACTCTCCAGCGGCAGTAATTCCCAGGACAAGGGTCAGGCCACTGAAACGGGACAAAGGAATCAAGGCCAGAAGAGGCAGCAAGTAGGATGGCAGTTCTCCACGGCATTCTCCAAGTGGAATTTCAAAGGCTAATGAGGGGAACCATAGTGAACCAGAACTTCAAACCTAGAAGTGTAAACGTCCAGGGAACGTTCTAATGCCCTGTATGCTATGGGTTCTTTATCTTCCTACTTCAGATCGTCACCAATCACACATGGAATAAACCTCCCATTAAGTAAAAAGTGATAAGACAATAGTGACAGCTGTGTGCATTGGGGCCTTGCTGTTTACCAACAATTTTCCATACACACTCACGTACATGTATATGTGTATGCACAATGTAGGTATCAATCCTCACAACAACCCAATGACATAGATACTGTTATATCTATTTTTTAGAAGAGTAAGTTGAGGCTAAGAAAGGACTGGTGACTTTCCTGATGTCACCCAACCAGGACTGACACTCAGGCAATCTGAGCTTTGCTCTGCTGCTTCCCTTAATGAGGAGGGTTCCTCTATGACAGAATGATGAAATCAGGAAGCTATGCTGGCTGGTAAGAACACCCAGCAGATTGGCTGAGTGGATCTTCTAAAGAGTGACACTTTGAGTATAATTGCAAATAGTCTCCAACAAGAAGAAGACACCGGGGCTTCCCCGGTGGTGCAGTAGTTAAGAATCCATCTGCCAGTGCAGGGGACATGGGTTCAAGCCCTGGTCCAGGAAGATCCCACATGCTGTGGAGCAACTAAGCCCATGCACCACAACTGCTGAGCCTGCGCTCTAGAGCCCACGAGCCACAACTACTGAGCCCACGTGCCACAACTACTGAAGCGGGAGCGCCTATAGCCTGTGCTCTGCAACAAGAGAAACCACCACAATGAGAAGCCCATGCACTGCAATGAAGAGTAGCTCCTGCCCTCCACAACTACAGAAAGCCCACACGCAGCAATGAAGACCCAACGCAGCCAAAAATAAAATAAATTTAAAAAAGAAGACAGCAAGACAGTGGGGTGCACAGCAAGCCCGCTGGTGAGGCCAGACTTGGAAGCAGCAAAGGGCACATGAGGGAGGGACAACATACCTCCAGCCAGGCTATTCTGTCCAGCCCTTTGCAGCACCTTCTAGGGGAGGGGAGTTGCTAATGTGAATCACCGAGCTCCGTGACACTGTTTGGAGGCGGTCACAGCATCGCCAGGTGGTACCCATCACGTGTGCTCCTTCCTCTGTGCACGCAGCTGGGCTGCTAAGTACAGCCGGATACACGGATAGATCCCCGTCCCGCCCTGTGGCATGACGGGGCCTGCTCAGTCCTAAGATTTAGGTTCAGAGGCAAATGGGAGTGCTTGTCCTTTACTATAATTCTCAGACATTTGCACAGCTATTAATAAAGACGTCTTTTGATACCCTTCTGCTGTTGTTCCTGTTCACAGAGAGCTTTCCGAGCCTGTGGGAAGGATCACTGATAATAGATGATCAAGATCTCAGCATTCCTGGGCCCTGGCAATAATTATATCTAATGACATAAAAATTATGTCCTGGGTAATAGGAACATACATGTTGATAACTACCTTAAATGTAAATGGATTAAATGCTCCAACCAAAAGACATAGACTGGGGGCTTGCCTGGTGGCACAGTGGTTGAGAGTCCGCCTGCCGATGCAGGGGACACGGGTTCGTGCCCCGGTCCGGGAAGATCCCACATGCCACAGAACGGCTAGGCCTGTGAGCCATGGCTGCTGAGCCTGTGCGTCCGGAGCCTGTGCTCCACAACGGGAGAGGCCACAACAGTGAGAGGCCTGCGTACCACAAAAAAAAAAAAAAGAAGACCTGTATATATGCTATCTACAACAGACCCACTTCAGACCTAGGGACACATACAGACTGAAAGTGAGGGGATGGAAAAAGATATTCCATGCAAATGGAAATCGAAAGAAAGCTGGAGTAGCAATTTTCATATCAGACAAAATAGACTTTAAAACAAAAGACTATTACAAGAGACAAAGAAGGACACTACATAATGATCAAGGGATCGATCCAAGAAGAAGATATAACAATTGTAAATATTTATGCACCCAACATAGGAGCACCTCTATACATAAAGCAAATGCTAATAGCCATAAAAGGGGAGCTCGACAGTAACACAATAATACTAGGGGACTTTACCACCCCACTTTCACCAATAGATCATCCAAAATGAAAAAAAAATTAAGGAAACACAAGCTTTAAATGACACATTAAACAAGATGGATTTAATTGATACTTATAGGACATTCCATCCAAAAACAACAGAATACACTTTCTTCTCAAGTGCTCATGGAATATTCTCCAGGATAGATCATATCTTGAGTCACAAATCAAGCCTCGGTAAATTTAAGAAAATTGAAATCCTATCAAGTATCTTTTCCGACGACAACACTATGAGACTAGATATCAATTACAGGAAAAAAACTGTAAAAAATACAAACACATGGAGGCTAAACAATACACTACTAAATAACCAAGATATCACTGAAGAAATGAAAGAGGAAATCAAAAATACCTAGAAACAAATGACAATGAAAACACGATGACCCAAAACCTATGTGATGCAGCAAAAGTGGTTCTAAGAGCGAAGTCTACAGCAATACAATCTACCTCAAGAAACAAGAAACATCTCAAATAAACAACCTAACCTTACACCTAAAGCAATTAGGGAAAGAAGAACAACAACGACAAAAAACCAAAGTTAGCAGAAGGAAAGAAATCATAAAGATCACATCAGAAATAAATGAAAAAGAAATGAAGGAAATGATAGCAAAGATCAATAAAGCTAAAAGCTGGTTCTTTGAGAAGATAAACAAAATTGATTAGCCACACTCATCAAGAAAAAAAGGGAGAAGACTCAAATCAATAGAATTAGAAATGAAAAAGGAGAAGTAACAACTGACACTACAGAAATACAAAGGATCATGGGAGATTACTACAAGCAACTATATGCAATAAAATGGACAACCTCGAAGAAATGGACAAATTCTTAGAAAATCACAACCTTCCGAGACTGAACCAGGAAGAAACAGAAAATATAAACAGACCAATCACAAACAATGAAATTGAGACTGTGATTAAAAATCTTCCAACAAACAAAAGCCCAGGACCAGATGGTTTCACAGGCAAATTCTATCAAACATTTAGAGAAGAGCTGACACCTAGCCTTCTTGAGCTCTTCCAAAATATAGCGGAGAGAGGAACACTCCCAAACTCATTCTACGGGGCCACCATCACCCTGATAACAAAACCAGACAAAGATGTCACAAAAGAAGAAAACTACAGGCCAATATTACTGATAAACATAGATGCAAAAATCTTCAACAAAATACTAGCAAACAGAATCCAACAGCTCATTAAAAGGATCATACACCATGATCAAGTGGGGTTTATCCCAGGAATGCAAATATTCTTCAATATATGCAAATTATCAACGTGATAAACCATATTAACAAATTGAAGGATAAAAACCATACGATCATCTCAATACATGCAGAAAAAGCTTTCAACAAAATTCAACACCCACTTATGATAAAAACTCTCCAGAAAGTAGGCAGAGAAGGAACTTACCTCAACATAATAAAGGCCATATATGACAAACCCACAGCCAATATCATTCTCAATGGTGAAAAACTGAAACCATTTCTACTAAGATCAGGAACCAGACAAGGTTTCCCACTCTCACCACTATTATTCAACATTGTTTTGGAAGTTTTAGCCACAGCAGACAGAGAAGAAAAAGAAATAAAAGGAATCCAAATCGGAAAAGAAGAAGTAAACCTGTCACTGTTTGCAGATGACATGATAGTATACATAGAGATACTAAAGATGCTACCAGAAAACTACTAGAGCTAATCAATGAATTTGGTAAAGTAGAAGGATACAAAATTAATACACAGAAATCTCTTGCATTCCTATACACTAATGATGAAAAATCGGAAAGAGAAATTAAGGAAACACTCCCATTTACCATTACAACAAAAAGAATAAAATACCTAGGAATAAATCTACCTAAGGACACAAAAGACCTGTATGAAGAAAACTATAAGACACTGATGAAAGAAATTAAAGATGATACAGACGGAGACATATACCGTGTTCTTGGATTAGAAGAAGCAACATTGTGAAAATGACTATACTACCCAATGCAATCTACAGATTCAATGCAATCCCTCTCAAACTAAAGCATTTTTCACAGAACTAGAACAAAAACTTTCACAATTCGTATGGAAACACAAAACACCCCGAATAGCCAAGGCAATCTTAAGAAAGAAAAACAGAGCTGGAGGAATCAGGCTCCCTGACTTCAGACTATACTACAAGTCTACAGTAATCAAGACAATATGGTACTGGCACAAAAACAGAAATATGGATCAATGGAACAGGATTGAAAGCCCAGAGATAAATCCACACACAGATGGTCACCTTATCTTTGATAAAGGAGGCAACGATATACAATGGAGAAAAAGACAGCCTCTTCAATAAGTGGTGCTGGGAAAACTGGACAGCTACATGTAAAAGAATGAAATTAGAACACTCCCTAACACCATACACAAAAATAATCTCAAAATGGATTAAAGACCTAAATGTAAGGCCAGATACTATTAAACTGTTAGAGGAAAACGTAGGCAGAACACTCCATGACATAAATCACAGCAAGATCCTTTTTGACCCACCTCCTAGAGAAATGGAAATAAAAACAAAAATAAACAAATGGGACCTAATGAAACTGGAAAGCTTTTACACAGCAAAGGAAACCATAAACAAGATGAAAAGACAACTCTCAGAATGGGCAAGAATATTTGCAAACAAAGCAACTGACAAAGAATTGATCTCCAAAATATAAAAGCAGCTCATGCAGCTCAATATCAAAAAAACCAACAACCCAATCCAAAAATGGGCAGAAGACCTAAATAGACATTTCTCCAAAGAAGATATACAGATTGCCAACAAACACATGAAAGGATGCTCAACATCACTAATCATTAAGAGAAATGCAAATCAAAACCACAATGAGGTATTACCCTCACACCAGTTAGAATGGCCATCATCAAAAAATCTACAAACAATAAATGCTGGAGAGGGTGTGGAGAAAAGGGAACCCTCCTACACTATTGGTGGAATGTAAATTGATACAGCCACTATGGAGAACAGTATGGAGGTTCCTTATAAAACTAAAACTAGAACTACCATACGACCCAGCAATCCCACTACCAGGCATATACCCTGAGAAAACCGTAATTCAAAAAGAGTCATGTACCACAATGTTCACTGCAGCTCTATTTACAATAGCCAGAACATGGAAGCAACCTAAGTGTCCATCGACAGTTGAATGGGTAAAGAAGATGTGGCACATTTGTACAATGGAATATTACTGAGCCATAAAAAGAAATGAAATTGAGTTATTTCTAGTGAAGTGGATGGACCTAAAGACTGTCATACAGAGTGAAGTAAGTCAGAAAGAGAAAAACAAATACCGTACGCTAACACATATATATGGAATCTAAAAAAAATGCTTCTGAAGAACCTAGGGGCAGGACAGGAATAAAGACCAGACATAGAGAATGTACTTGAGGACATGGGGAGGGGGAAGGGTAAGCTGGGACGAAGTGAGAGAGTGGCATGGACATATATACACTACCAAATGTAAAAAAGATAGCTAGTGGGAAGCAGCCACATAGCACAGGGAGATCAGCTTGGTGCTCTGAGACGACCTAGAGGGGTGGGATAGGGAGGGTGGGAGGGAGACGCAAGAGGGAAGAGATATGGCGATATATGTACGCATATAGCTGATTCAGTTTGTTATACAGCAGAAACTAATACACCATTGTAAAGCAATTATACTCCAATAAAGATGTTTAAAAAAAAATTATGTCCTGTTTCCTAAAAACAGGGCAAAATACCAAGAACAGATTCAAAAGATGGGTATAACACCTATGAGCAGCGTTCAGGAAGTCTGAAACCCAGCATGTATTGAAATTTTAAGAATGTATTGAGGACAGCAAAAAATAAGCAGTAATAATAAAGACTTGTAAAATGCATATTTAGTGCAAGAATAAAGAGAAGGAAGGGATAGACCTGTGCTTGACATGGATGATGTTATATCTGTAGAAGACAAAAAGAAAGCAAAAAGATTTCTTCCTTATAGCATCCTCAACTTTCCAACCATAAACATCTCCCTCCTGAATAATGTAGAATGATACCTGGTTCAGAGGGTGGTTTAAAAATATGTCCACAAATTACTCACCTCCAGCCTTCAAGAAGTGGAGCTTAGGGCTCCCCTGGTGGCACAGTGGTTGAGAGTCCGCCTGCCGATGCAGGGGACGCGGGTTCGTGCCCCGGTCCGGGATGATCCCACATGCCGCGGAGCGGCTGGGCCTGTGAGCCATGGCCGCTGAGCCTGCGCATCCGGAGCCTGTGCTCCGCAACGGGAGAGGCCACAACAGTGAGAGGCCTGCGTACTGCAAAAAAAAAAAGAGGTGGAGCTTAATTCTCCTCTCCTTGAGTGTGGTCTGTATTTAGTGACTTGCTTCTAAGAAATAGAATGTGGTCGAAAGAACAGAGAGTGATTCATTTCTCATGGGTAGATACCTAGGAGCAGAATTGCTGGACCATGTAATGTATTTTTATTTAACATTTTAAGAAACTACCAAACTATTTTCCAAACTGGCTGTGCATCTTACCCTCCCACTAACAAAGTATACGGATTCCAGTTTCTCCACATCCTTGTCCATCTTTTGGGTTATACACATCTTAGTGGGTGAGAAGTCATTCAGTTTAAAATGTTGGTCACTGTTTTAAACTTTAAACAAAAATAGAAGTTCCAATTGATCACAGGAAATGATAGAATTCAATTAACTCAAGTCTGGTTCTTTGTTTTACAGTCACTCATTGTTTATCTCAAATATACAGTCCAAACGATCACAGGGTTGGAAACAGGAACTGAATTATGCCCAAAGCAAGGTAGAAAAATTCCAAACTCTCACCTGTTCTGGCTCTTATTTTCTTACTATTGAACAAACCCACGTAGCCGGATCTGCCTGTGTCAGGGGCTGACTGTAGCTGAGAGTTCTCTGAGTTAACTTCCTAGTAGATTAAAAAGCTTATTAAAGGATATATAATCAAATATGCTAATTGGAAGCTTACATATATTCTGCTAAAACTCAGCAGTAACTGCAACGATTGATACAGAACAAAGAACAATAAAATATCTCACTAAAAGAATTTAGAACTGCCAGCTCATGGTGGTAATAAAAAGCAGATCAAATTTTAGTTGGTTTTCTCGGTTTTTAAATTCCCACAGATGCTGCAATAATGAACCGCCTCTTACTTGTTTGTACACCAGCCAGAAGCTCTGACTCTTTGTAGTCAGGCTGCCAGGGACCATTCCCCATCAATCCAGGAGGAAGCTGGGAGGATGTGGGAACACTGACTTCTTACTGACTGGTACATTTTTAAAGCCAAGGGTGAATTGTAACTGTTTAAGTTATCACCTTTGTAAATTGCCAAAGGACAACTTAATGACAACTTGTATAAGAAGCAGTGAAGAGGGTGAGATGGAGAGCATATTTCTGCACTTGCTCCCTAGACCCTTGTCGGAAATCCTCTTGGGCTGTGCCTTATGCTGACATGTGCTCGCTCTGCCTTTTCCAGATGCCACCTTATGAGTAAGGAAAATGCTCTAAATGAACACATCTTCACTGGGACCTCACAGACAATAGATTTAATTAAGAACAGGGGAAAGAACAGGGAATTAAGAAAGTCAAATACATTCCTTCCCAGCTGGAGACATGGGCCAGTACGGGGGAAGAGTGGGTATCTAGGCTGGGGAACCCCTCAAACTTAGGCACGCATGGGGGAAAATCCTTGCGAAGCACTCTCAGGGGGCCAGGCAGAAAAGTACAGACACCTTAAAACAACAATAAGCCTCCCAGTTCAAAGTGACTGGAAGCTGGTTCTATAAAACCAGGAAGAACGTTCTGCCCAGAGGGGCAGCTGGTCAGTCTTGGACACACAAGAAAGGAAATCTCAGAGGGGAACACTGGGAATACCCATCGGATAGGCCTGCCTGGGAAAGAGAGCATCAGGGCAGTGGGCTTCCAGGGCCTCACTCCCCTGTCAGTGGCCTCTCCCCAAGGGACACACAGGCCACCAGCATCCTGTCCCCCATCTCACTGAATTCTGTTCTGTGCTCACCAAGCAACCTTCGAGTGTGATTTCCTGCCCACAAGTGGGGCCTCACGGGGAGATAACACACACGCAGAGTGGGAAGCTGTTTTTGGTCCTCAGAGCAGAGCCGCAGATCTAAATGGGAATGGAGGGATTGGGGAGAAGAAGGATGAGTGGAAAAAAGCTTCAGAAAGGGCTTCCAGGACACAGAAAGCATCATTCTACCCCCTCCTCTCCACCCGGGTGCCTTCCTTTGTATCAGCCCTGAGGTGTTAGGCAATGCCATAGCAGGGCATGGGAAGTTTTAGAGAATCACCATTTCCAACCTACTGGGCATTTGCATGATTGTGGATTCTCAAAAATAAGTGCCCGTAGATTAAGGTAGAGTCCTCAGGCATGGACATCTGAGGGCTACAAAGGGCTCACAAACACCGAGTCCCCTCCATAACGACAGCCTCAAAATCCAGCTGTTTTCAAAGAACTGATACGCAAAGCATCATGATGCACACTTAAATTGTGGCAGACACTCTTCTTAGTGGTATTTTAACATCTCTGAAATTCAGATTAAGGAGGGGGTCATACAAAGTGGCAAAATTCACCAGGGAGTCTTTTGCTGTCATTGTTTAATGTGACCATGTACCCAGAAATACTTGCCCATAATTGCCCTTCTCTACAGGAACAAAACGGTTCTTAGCACCATGTCAAGTGCGGTTTCGCGAAACCTGATTTTTTGTTTTGTTTTGTCTTTTGTGGACAAACTATGAAAGGTTTATTCTCAAATATTCGGACTTGATCCTCCATCCTTCCACATTAGTGCGAGCACCAAAGCAATTCCACGTATTGTTTTCTAACACACAAAAACTGTTCATCTCAGGCTACTCAGGCTAGAGACAGGCAAGGAGAGAGTGAGTAATGAGTCTGATCTGAGAGCATTTGTAGAGGAAAACAACGCGGCACTTCCCGAGGAGACAGGAGTGACCATCCCCTCGCCCCCAGCCAGTGTGGGCCGGATCCGTCCCATCCATTTAGTTTTGAGAGCCTGAGTTTCCCCTCCAAGATCTGTACCAAGGGTCATTAAAAAGTACATTTGCCTTAAAGGTTAGTTAATGTAACAATGGGTTTTAACTAACCATGTGATCTATCAATATGGAGAGATCAGTGGGTCTTCAAAGAGATCATAAGACAAAAGTCAAGGAAACCAGGGAGACAGATGATGGCCCTGGAGAAGAAGTAATCACCCAACAGGAAGGAGAAAATCAGGGGAAAGGGGTAACTGTACGGCAGGACCACCCTGGAGAGGTCAGTAACACCCCCTGCCGACATTCTGTATTTCCCAAGTGAGTAGGTGGCCTTGAAGATCTGGTCTCACAGTTTAACTGGCATTCCCAGTGTCAGGAGTTATCACGCAAAGTCTTCTACAGGCATGATCACTGCTTCTCTTCCTAATGTGCTGTGACTCCAGGAATTAATAGAAATGTAGCTCTTCGGAAGTTCCCTTGTATAGATTTCTACTTTCTCTTTGATTAAAACATTTAATAATACAAAGCTGGTACAACAATTGGCAGGTCCATTAAACTGTCAAGTGTGGCAAAATGGTTGTGCAATGTTCTGTCTTTTTCTGTGGCTCGCACACAATCTGACAAATGGAACGATAAAGAAATGTGGAGCTCCTGTGTTTATTTAAGTAGGCTGCAGAGATGAAAAAGAACTCTCCTCAGTGTGCTGACTGGAACATAACTGCTGACAGAATAGCAGCTACAGGAACAATAAGGTAGAAAAGTCAGGTCTTATGAAAAGTGACTGAAAGCTTGCCTATCGGTAGCCTGGCATTCCTTTATTTTTTATTATTCCACAAAGAGAACATAAATGGGGATCATGCTAGCTTTTTAAATAGTTCAATTCCTTCCCCCTCTTATTTATTCCTTCCTTCTTTCCTACCTTCCTTTCTTTCTTCCTAAACCACACTAAGTACCCTGTGTTAACAACCTAGTGTTGTAAACACATACACACATTCACAAATGCACATATACACGACATAGTTTCTTCCTTGTATATTAGTATTATTTAGAGAAATATAGTACCATACATCTCTGCAGCTAGATTTTTGTCACTCAATGATACTTCATAGAAATCCTAACCAAGGGTACAGACTTTGCTATGGTTTATCCTTTTTAATGGCTGCATAATATTCTATGAAATTTTTAAATATTTTCTTTTGAAGACTGATTCAACCATTCTTCTATGGGGATTCACTTTGTTTCAGAATTTTAACTGTATGAATAATGCTGTAATAAACATCATGGTACATATTATTTTTATGAAATTATTATGTACTTTTATGTCTTTGGAATAGCTTCTCAGGAATGAGACTGGTGGATCAAAGTGTATGTGAATTTTTATTCTCAGAAGATATTGCCATACTGCAATTAATATTTAACTTGCAGAATATGACAGTACCTTTTCCTGTGCATCCTTACCTCTAAAGAGTATGATGGTGTTATGTTCTATTAGATTTGTATTAAATACATGGTTATAAAGGGATAATGCATTGTTACTTTAATTTGCATTTCTCTGATTACTGATAATTTTGAGTATCCATATGTTTATGGCCATTATATCCACTTTTGGATAAATTATCCATTCATATTTATTTTCTATTATTTGTTGCCATTAGTAAGAACTCTTAGTCTTTTAAAGATACTAACTTTGTTTTAATCATCTGTGATGCAAATATATTTTTAGCTATATACAATTTCTCATTGACCTTGTTTAAATCTTCTATAGCTTTTGGTTTCTTGTCTTGGTTAAGAACAGTCTCCACAAACCCTAAATTGTATGTACAGGCTCCTAGATTTTCTTCTGTAATTTAAGTCATTCATTCATCTATCTATTTATTGATTTATTTTTACATTTAATTTTTTGCTTTGAAGTCTTCAGTTAACTGGAATTTATTTCTATAAATGCTGAGAGACCTGTATATTTCCATTTTCTTCCAGCTGCATGGTCAATTGAGCCAGCACCTTCCAGCTCACACTGAATTAAAATATCAACTTCATAACAGATTAAAATAGTGTATATTTTGGAATCTATACCAAGACTTTTCATTCAATTCCTCTACCATGTATACTTATTCCAATGCCTTATTTATTTGATTATAGTGGCTTTATAGTATGCTTTAATATCTACACTCACTAGTCTTCTTTGTATACATTTTATTCTTGGGCTTCTTATTTTTCCAAATAAGCTTTAAGATCTTTTAATATTGTTTTCTTCGGTACGCGGGCCTCTCACCGTTGCGCCCTCTCCCGCTGCAGAGCACAGGCTCTGCACACGCAGGCTCAGCGGCCATGGCTCACGGGCCCAGCCGCTCTGTGGCATGTGGGATCCACCCAGACCGGGGAACGAACCCGTGTCCCCTGCATCGGCAGGCGGACTCTCAACCACTGCACCACCAGGGAAGCCCTTTAATATTGTTTTTAAATGCTATGATTCTAATTGGAATTGCAGTATATATCATAATTAATGTTAAATGTAAATATATGTACACGTATATAGTGAATTTTAGAAGCGCTAACATTTAAATTATTTTTAGTCTATACATCTAAGAACTTAGTATGATTTTCCATTTGTTTGAGTCTTGTTTTCAGGATGTAATAGTTGTCTTCCCACAGTATTTCTTTGCATTTTATTGTAACCACAGATTAATTTTTCCCATTTTCATGGTTAGGTCATTTCTGCTATTGATTGTTATATGTATTTTTATATCTATCTGTCTTACCAATTCAAGTATTTTTTTCCTTATGTCTCTTGGGTTTTCCAGGAATATAATAATATTATCAAGAAAAAGAGTTTTATCCTTTCTTTTTCAATGTTTATACAAATTATTTTACTATCTTTTCTCACTGCATTTGCTAGAACTTTTAAAACAATGTTGAATAATAATGGCAAGAACAAGCAATCTTATCTAGTTCCTGGTCATAATTAAAGTAATTTTAGTGGTCTGCTATTTAGAATAATGTTTGCCAGTGTTTTGTAGTCTTTATCAAACTTACAAATGTTCCTCCTGTACATATTTTCCTAAAGTTCTCATTAAGGATAGCTACCAAATGTTTATCAAGATGGCTTTTCAACATCTATTGACATGTTAATTTACTTTTCCACTTTAATTTGTTGGTGTAATGAATCATGTTGCTTGATTTCCTGATACCAATGCAACCTTGCATTCTTGCAATAAACTCTACTTGGCCATACTTTATTAGTCAGTTAATATTCAATACATGACTGGATTATTGTAGCTAATATCACATTTAGAATTCTCTGCATCTAGTGTGCTACTGGTCTTTTTGCACTACTATTTTTATCAGGTTGCAGTAATAAGATTGGCCTCATAAATACAATGAGAACTTGTCTTCTTCTATAGTCTTAAATAATTTAAATTACATCAGAAATGCTTGCCCTCTAAGGTTAAATAGTGTTCAGCTATGCAATTAACAAATACTGTTAACGTTTTCAATAATACATTTTTAATCTCTCCTATGGCGCTCAAACTATTCAAAATTTCTACTTCTTCAATGAATTTTAAAAATTTATATTTTCCTAGGAAATCAACAATGTTTTCTAGATTTCTAAATTACTTTACTGAGATTAAGACTTTCTGTGTGGTCAAGAACATGAACTATTTTTGTAAATGTTACATGGACACTACAAAACTACATGTTCTTTGGGAGTCAATAAATAAATTTGTGTTTAATAAATAGAAATTTATTGAATCCATCTTGTAGACGCTAGCTATAGGCTTAGGAGAAATCGGCTTTCTACCTCTGTCCCTTCTCTCATCTTCAAACTTTTTTTATAAAGGTGTTCACCACCTTTATAAAGGTGTCCCCAGTGGCTGGGTAACTTGTATTTACGCATAGGTCTCAGTTTTATGTCACTTCCCCCAGGAAGTCCTCCTTCATACCCTATACTCAGTTGGGGAACAGATTCATAATACAAAGAATATTTTCTTCTTGGCACTTGTCTATTGGTCATTATGTTGTTATTTGTATAAGTAATAAAGCAATATCTTTCTTATGATCTAGTAACTTCCATGAGGATGGAATAATGTTTGCTTTATCTTATCCGCAAAACATAGTTAAACACAATAGAGTTTAACTGGCACATAGTAGGCATGCAATATATATTTCTTATATGAATGAATGAATGAATAAATGAATGGTCTGTTAATCAGAGGAGATATAAATTAAGGAACCATCACTGGCAGTTCTCCACTGTGTGGTTGGAAACCCAGGCTGCCACATCACAGAACCTTGAAGCAGACATGCAAGAAAGAAGCAGAGTTGAGAGATGGAGGAAAAGAAAATTTCCCAGCTCACAACAGCACATCAGTCCCTCTTTAAAGTTTGTATCGGAGGCCCAACTTCATCCCAGTCCTTGGGTTCCTGAGACGTGCTGTAGCCTTGTAATTCGACTTTTTACTGAAGCTAAAAACAAAACCAGATTTCCTTAGTTTTCTCCTAATGTCCATTTCCTGTCCCAGGATCCCATCCAGGACACCACATAACATTTTTTTTTAACATCTTTATTGGAGTATAATTGCTTTACAATGGTGTGTTAGTTTCTGCTGTATAACAAACTGAGTTCTGTAGGAGTCGTTCCACATGTAGATATATTTTTTGATGTATCTGTGGGGAGGAAGGTGGTCTCCATGTCTTACTCCTCCGCCATCTTGAAAGTCCTCCTACATTACATTTAGTTCTCATGTTCCTCAGGCTTCTCTCGGCTGTGAGCCTTTCTCAGGCTTTCCTTGTTTTTAATGGCCTCATTGTATATATTTTTGTAGTTTATTTTACTCCTTCTAATTTTATGTTCATTTTGTGTTCACTTTGTTGTCTCCTCTTTTTCCTTTTGCTATTTTTTGCTGGTTTTCATAAGTTTCTTTTCACTCTTTTTTCCTTTTGTTAGCGCTGCTGTTTTGTAACTTTCTATCCCATTAATGTTTGCCTCCCCTCTCTAGGACCTCATAACAAAACATGTATTTCTGTAATATTTTTTAAAAACAAGATATAATTTGCTTCCTTCACCAAGGCAGTCTACACTAAGGTCAGTCTTTTAGAATATTTTCACTGCTGTTCTCAATTCTGCCCTTAACCAAACCAAGATAAAATCTTTGAAATGCTTTTCTTCATTACTTTTCTCCCCCTTCACCCCTAACTTGTAGATTTCTCTGAGATAGTTTTGTACTTTTCATTCTAGATTATTATTAGAATTACCCTCACACAGTTCCTCTTTATTTTAAGAATTCTTCTTTGGGGTAGCTAGCATACCTTCCCTTGTCTATTACTATCCATTTAAATTTAACTGTTTATGCATTGTCAAGCACTACCTCTCTTCCTCTTCGTGTTCTCCTGTCTTTGGTGGTTGTGCTGGTAGAGGATGGTGGTGTGTTGGTTATGGTACAGTTGTTTGGTTGTATAGTCCTCCCTCTAGTAGTTTCCTCTGGCACCAATATGCCCAAGTGATGTACTCTCTGGGTCACAGCACCACTCTCTCCTCCGTTCTGAAATGGGAATGACGTCTTAAATGGATACAGGACCATGGGTTGCAGTTCATTTCTCTCAGATGCCATTTGCCACCTTCTATCTAAGGCATTGCATATAAAACAGTGCATGGCTGTCTGATTCTTTAAGTAGCTGGTTATTTCCATCTAGAAGTTAGTAATGGTTTCTCTTCATTCTTGGAGTTGAAGAATTTTCCAGGCAAGCTTTGGTGACTTTTTTTCTCATCCCTTCTGCTTGGAACTTGGTGAAGAGTTTCAATTTGCACATTCAGGTCTTTCTTAATCTTGAGGACATTTTCTTCTTTTATTAGTTTAATTATTGCCTTTTCATCATCTGTTCCTTTTCTCCTCTCTGGATCTTCTTTTATTCACATGTTAGTTCTTCCAAATATAGCCTCCAAGTCTTTTTTTTTCTCATGATTGTTTTCTCCATATATATATATATATATATATATATATATATTTTGCGGTACGTGGGCCTCTCACTGTTGTGGCCTCTCCCGTTGCGGAGCACAGGCTCCGGACGCGCAGGCTCAGCAGCCATGGCTCACGGGCCCAGCCGCTCCGCGGCATGTGGGGTCTTCCCGGATCAGGGCACGAACACGCTTCCCCTGCCTCGGCAGGCGGACTCTCAACCACTGCGCCACCAGGGAAGCCCTACAAACACTTTTTGATAGGTTTTCAATTTTGAGAAGTCTCTTTATGCATGTGCAACTGTTGTTGGAGCTATTAAGAGTAAATGATAGGCTGTGACAACACTGTTGGGATTATTTTGGGACATTATACTGGGATAAGTTTCTGATAAATTATATCAAAATATAAATTTTATTACATCTAGAACTGCTGATTGTCAAGGAATAGTTTTTCTAAAAGATTTCACTCTCTGTACAAATGTGTTTCACATGTCTGAAGTACACTTTGAATGTTGATTTATACAGTGTTATCTTACCGTTTCCTCTGACATTCCTCCAGCTCGTAGAGTTGCCCATTGCTGCCTGTCACATCTCCGCTGCCCGTGTGAGTATCACACTGGCCCATCAGACTCCTTACAAAACACAAGTTCAAAGACAAAATTATTTTAAGAATTTCAAAACAGTCGTAGAAGAACATTAAACCAAGCACAGGGCCTTTCTCACCACAGGCCCTGCCGGGGAATCCAGACACATAGCAATGGTGATTTCTGGTTTTGTACCCACTAGTGGTTTGGACTGGAGTGTTTAACACACTTTTTTTTGCCAATCTAGTAAGTAATTTGTCTTATAAATCTGCCATTTACAGTCTCTCCTTCTAGAGGTTTTCTGAAGCTCTCTAAGCCAGCAATTATCTCTCTCCTTGTAAATCAGCTGGTACCTTTTCTAGGAAACCAACGTGATCCTAACTAGTCACTAATGACTTAAATTAGTTGCTGGCTCTTTCTGAGCCCCTAATTTTCCCAAGACTAATTAGCTCAGGCATAGGGAAGTTCTGGATTCATCCAGCCATTTAAAACACGATGGACATAAATTCAGTCCATACCATAATTCAGAGTGCAGGTTCTGGAACAATCCTGCCTGTTCAAATCCTCCACTTTCCTGCCGTGAGCCTTTGGCATGTCATTAACCTCTGTAAGTCTCAGTTTTCTCATTTATAAAACAGGAATAACGGCATACCTTTCAAGATAGGGCATGACAAATGTTTATTATTACTGTTCAATTCTAGATAAGTGGGGCTCAGTCTCTTAGCTGATAGCAGTGATGTCCCCAAGAGAACAAAAGTGCTAGCTTTGACTAGCAAATTTTTTCGGTAAAATATAGAGAATGTTCACTACTGCTTTCTGAAGGAGTCCACAAGGGAGCAGAAACAGAATCCAGTTCAGTAAGGCCATTCAGAAAGTATGGCTGGGTGAAGCTGCCGCAGGATCCGCTGAGTGTGTGGAGGGGATGTGTGGGTGTGTGAGCATGAGTCTGTATGGGATCCTTCCTGTGCTTACTTGAAAGCAGGCTTTGAGTGTCCATGTATACAACCAACAAACACACATGGCTTTTATCTGATGTCTGGGCTTGTTGTTCCTCTGGGTTACATGGCAGCTGTCAGCAGAGCTCCAACGCGAGAACACTCATAAGTAATATAGAACAGAGCATCTCCTCTTACCCACACAAGGCAAAAGAACAGACATTTTCTGAAGTTGGGTTTTTTTTTTTAACTGGGATGAGGCTTTTCCAACACCTGATGTTTGCTCATGAATTTGAAGCATAAGCCAACAGCAGGGTTTGGTAAAAAGGAATTCTGAATTTAAAAAGAAATTCACAATTAAGTGTTTTCAGCTTTACCAGTATGTACTAAAAGGGTAATCAGGTTTGATTAATCAACCCTATTTACCAATAGATAGGCATCAAGTAAAAAATCTAATTTCTTCCCTGATGGACTTTACAAAAGTATGACCTATTACAAGGAAATGAAATCATCAAAAGGATGAAATTAAAATATTTCATTAGATTCTCCCATGAGATTTGTGTTACAGACTAACTGCAGGTGTCTCTACGGCTGAATGAGTGACCTCTGGAAATGGCCACCATGCCTGCATCCCTCCCACCCTCCCCCTCCACTTGATGAACCTCTTCTGCCCTCCCAGCCAGCACTAGTGCTGGCTGTTTAAGGCTACCCCATACTGTGAGTAATTCACCTTCCCTGTCTTCACTGCCAGCTGTCTTAGTCAAGGTCCCATAAAAACCTGCACAAGGAAAAGAAGAACCACTTTGAGATTTTACAGCAGAGGGAATGTCATGCAAAGAGTTGGTTCCAGGGGCCTTGGAAGAGCTGAGAAGCCAACAGGGGATGGAGAAGAAAGCTAGCGAGTAGCAACAGCGGGCATCCACGGCCTCCTCTGAGCTACAGGATAAAGGAGAGGGTGTTTCTGGACCCCAGGGGCCAGGGTCACCTGGGAGAGGCTGGAAGGCCCACCCAGTGGGCACTGGGGCAAGGTAAGAGATGCAGGGCGACATCCCAGACCAATTAAGCTGGAACCCCTGCAAATGGGGCCAGGCATCAGTGGTTTTTAAAACTCCCCAGGTGATTCCAATGCACAACCAGGCATGAGAACCCCAGCTTTAAGCATCTAGTAGAATCTGCATTCCTACAACTGCATCTGCCCCGCACTGAGCAGATGTGGGGAAAAGTGCTGCTGACATACCATTGCTCAAAGTCCAGAAGCAGAGACCAAAGACGCCGCTAAATCGGGACGCCAAGCTGCTCTAAGATACCCTAAAAGGAATATCCAAGAACTGGATTTGATTTATAGAATTTTGCTTCATAGGTAAACTTTAGTAATTGCTGTCTAAAATATACTATTTCAAAGAGCCATCCTCTGTTTACTGAAAAAATTGATTAGCTATCACGCTGTGTGCCAATTACAGTAAACCATTAGCTAGCACAATTGATGCACAAGGCATTTCCAATATACATAAACTAAAATAGAACATCCTGCTTAATTATTCTACTAACGTGCACATATTAAGTGTGTGCTAATTATTTCTTGAATGCACTAATAATCAAAGGAAGATTAGTGTTCAGTGTGATACTATTGTGATTTTTAATTGTATTTTACTTATTTTCAAATGGATAATCCATGATGATACATACAAAGAATCTGTTAACTAGAAACAAACATCTTAATATGATCTTCTTTTAAATAACTGAGAAGATACTTCAAGATTTTGTACAGCCCTCGGGTAATCACAATGAACACCAATTATCATCATAAACATTGCTAAAGAGAAGTCTGACTAGCAAAACTCCAGGTAATGAGTTCAACTGAGCCTCAGTAACTGGAAAAAAAGAATGAACTCTTTTTCAAGAACACATCTATAATGCGTTTCATTAAGCATTTATTCACACAAGAAATGTTTCTTAAGCAATTAATATACATTCTAGGGAATAACAAGACAAATAAGATGAGGTCCCTTCCTCAGAGCACTTTATAATCTAATGGAAGCGATTAGACAATCACACAAGTCCCGGTAAGAGGCAGTAGTTGCTGATTCTAACGTTCAGTGAGGTTGAGGGTGAACAGGCCAGAGGACATGAGAAGGGAGACTTGAGAGCAAATGTCAGCTGATCGTGGGGAGTAGGGACACACATTAAAAGTATTTGAAGAGAGAAGCGACCAAATCAAAATGGCACTTGATGTACAGAATGGACAGACGCCAGGAAACCATTTAAGGATTACTGGAAAAATCAAAGTGAAAGGTTCAAAGAAGACAACAGCAGCAAGTATCCAAATGAAGCATGGATGCTAGAAATATCAGAACGAAAAATCCCCATAGAATTTCATGCCTGAATGTCTCCAAGGGCTGACTGAAGAAAATTAAGGAAACAGAAGGAAGGGCTCCTTTGAAGGAAAAGATAATGAATATTCCTCTTCAGATATATCTGGTTGAAGGCTAGAGAGACATCCAACAAGAGACATCCAGCATGAATGCACTGAGAACACTGTTTGCAAAGTCATTTTATGATGATTTCGTCATTGTGTAATTGTATGCAGAAATAAAATACTCACTTGTCATTCATAATACAAAATGTTGTGAACAAAATTACAAATTCCTGTGTTAACACGATATTCTTTTTTTGGTGGTACGCGGGCCTCTCACTGTTGTGGCCTCTCCCGTTGCGGAGCACAGGCTCCGGACGCGCAGGCTCAGCGGCCATGGCTCACGGGCCCAGCCGCTCCGTGGCATGTGGGATCTTCCCAGACTGGGGCACGAACCCGTGTCCCCTGCATTGGCAGGCGGACTCTCAACCACTGCGCCACCAGGGAAGCCCCACACGATATTCTTAATGACTTTCAAAAACAACAGTGCAAGTCATCTTTACATGCATCAAATATATACTGTTTCCACTTCACTTTAATAAAATCATGATGGTGAATCATGATGATGTTGTCCAGCCTTTTAGGTTGATGTTTAAGAGTACCAGATCCAACTGTTCAAAAGCCCATCATATAAACAGTTATGATCCTTGGTGGACTTCACAGATTTGTGCTTCACTGACAGAGCTGGAGAGATTGCTGAGCTGTTAGAGAGTATATTTTACAACTGTATTGCAGTTGGGTTGAAAGTAGCCCCACAGTTTTCTTTATAAGCACTACAGCGTTTCATTGACTCTTCCCTTTCTTTCTCTATTTAGCGGTGATGGGCAGAAAGTCATCACTCCATCCTAACAATGAGTAAAAAGCTGAACAGACTGAAAAAGCAACAATTCTTCTTGGATCCATAAGAGAGGGTAGGACACAGGGCAAACTGCTGCCCCCAACTGGAGAGACAGACAAATATAGGGAGTTGGGGCTTACCCAAGTAGAGACGCATGAATGGAAACCAGCTCAGGAATCAGTGCCAGGGAGGAAAACCTGAAATGTAATTCATGAATTGCCAGAGGCTCAGTGTTAAAAACTCCAGGGGAACCCAGTCATCAGAGAAAAGAAACTATTTTGAAATATGCCAGAGCACTCTGTTCTTAAAAAACCTGCCCTCAGGAGAAACTAGTTGAACAGAGCCTAACTAACTCGGATATTATCAGAGCCTATCTGACCTGGGGGAAGGGAAATACCCAACTCCACTCAGTTCTAGCTTTCCACATGGGAGAATGGAAATACCCAACTCCGTCTCATGCTATCCATCCTGTCCCACCTAAGATAGAAGAAAAAACTGAGGAATGCTATGAAGTTCACAGCCCAAAGGCACAGACTCACTGAAAGACTGAGACCTAACCATAGGCTAGAGAATGATTCCTGTTCCCCCACACCTCACCCTCACATTACTAAAGACCTAGTTACAGCAGTTCCTTTTACCCAGTACACCATGTCCAGTTACCAAGAAAAAATTAGAAGATCTACCAAAAGGCAAAAAACATAATTTGAAAAGACCGAGCAAGCATCAGGACCAGACATGGAAGGGATTTTGGAATTATCAATAACTTCCCTAAGGAGGCAAAAGACCTGTACTCTGAAAACTACAAGATGTTAATGAAAGAAATCAGAGATGACACAAACATATGGAAAGATATACCATGTTCTTGGATTGGAAGAATCAATATTGTCAAAATAAGCATACTGCCCAAGGCAATCTACAGATTCAGTGCAATGCCTATCAAATTACCAGTGGCATCTTTCACAGAACTAGAACAATTTTTTTTTAAATTTGTATGGAAACACAAAAGACCCCAAATATCCAAAGCAAGCCTGAGAAAGAAAAATAGAGCTGAAGGAATCAGGCTCCTTGACTTCAAACTACACTACAAAGTTACAGTAATCAATACAGTATGTTACTGGCACAAAAACAGAAATATAGATCAATGGACTAGCATAGGAAGCCCAGAAATAAACCCACACATCTATGGTCAATTACTCGATGACAAAGGAGGCAAGAATATACAATGGAGAAAAGACAGCCTCTTCAATAAGTGGTGCTGGGAAAACTGGACAGCTACATGTAAAAGAATGAAATTAGAACATTCTCTAAAACCACATACAAAAATAAACTCAAAATGGATTAAAGACCTAAATGTAACACTGGGTACTATAAAACTCTTAGAGGAAAACACAGGCAGAAGACTCTTTGACATCAATTGCAGCAATATCTTTTTGGATCCACCTCCTACAGTAATGAAAATAAAAACAAACAAATGGGACCTAATTAAAGTTAAAATAATTTGAAAAGGTACATGCACCCCAATGTTCACTTCAGCACTATTTGCAATAGACAAGACATGGAAGCAACCTAAATGTCCATTGAAAGAGGAATGGATAAAGAAGATACGGTACATATATACAATGGAATATTACTCAGCCATAAAAAGAATGTAATAATGCCATTTTCAGCAATGCGTATGGACCTAAAGATTATCATACTAAGTGAACTAAGAGAGAGAAGGACAGATATCATATGATATCACTTATATGTGGAATCTAAAAAGATGATACAAATGAACTTATTTACAAAACAGACTCACAGACTTTGAAAACAAAAGTATGGTTACCAAAGGGGAAGCGGGGGGAGGGATAAATTAGGAGTTTGGGATTCTTACTAACTGGCTTAACAGGTGTTGGAGAGGAGGCTCCTCTATGGTTGTTTGAGGGATGGATATAGTTTGGGATTAACATATACACACTACTATATATAGAACAGATAATCAACAATGACCTACTGCATAGCATAGAAGACTCTATTCAATATTCTGTAATAACCTATATGGGAAAAGAATCTGAAAAAGAATGGATATATGTATATGTATAACTGAACCACTCTGCTGTACACCTGAAACTAACACAACATTGTAAATCAACTATACCCCAATATAAAATAAAAATTAAATTAAAAAAACATAATTTGAAGGGACAGAGCAAGCATCATTTGTATCATCTTTTTAGATTCTTTCCTTAACCGTGTCCAGTCTACTTTATAAGTAGACTTGTTTATGGGCTTATAGCCCATCAGAGGCACTCTTCATTTCTGTTACAGTGCTTTTGATCTCTAGCATTTCTTTTTGGTTCCTTCTTAGGAGTTCCATCTCTCTGCTTACATTGCCCATCTGTCCTTGTGTGCTGCTTCTTTCTCCACTAGAGTCCTTAGCATATTAATCATAGTTGTTTTAAATTCCCGGTCTGATAATTCCAAAATTCCTGACCCTCCTCGCTTTGCTTGATGGCTATGACACCCTGGCCTCTTTATGTAGTCCAATCTCAATCCCCTATTGTAATAGTCATGACCCCTAGTCATTTGTCTTTAATAAGGTCCTCCTTACTATTAAAAAAATATAAAAATAAAGTTCGAGAGATGCTGTTGTTTTGTTCTGTTTTCATTTTTTGGAGGTTTCTATTAAGATATCCTCAAGCTCAGAGATTTCTGGTTCACAGTTTTAGCTTCCCGTGGTAATCACCTGGGAGCTTTAAAACATACCACTGCCTGGATCCCACCCTAAGAGAATCTGATTTAATCAGTCTGGGGATTTTTAAAAGCTCCCACATGATTCTAATGTGTAACCAAGGTTGAAACCTACTGGTCTTGATTAACCCCGTCTCTCTACAGACAAGAACAATAAGACTCCGCAGCCTTGGTGACTTACTCCAGGTTATAAAGCAAATTTGAGAGCAGACCTAGGAATCTGAAAATGCCAGTCTGGTTTGGGGCTGCCTACACTATGGTAGAGCCCTTTCCTTCCACAACTGAGGCCTCTGTTCCCACGTTGAAGAGCTGGCATAATCCTTGCTCCCCAGAGCCTTTCATTCACCTGCTCCTGTTCATCTTAGGAATGTTCTGGCTTTCTGGACACACTTTAATGCCTCTCTCACAATTTTCATCTATGTTTTGCATCCCTCCCCTCCTCCACTGGGCCCACTCTCGTAAGCCCTGAATCGTTCCCAGACTTTCCAGCCTCCTTGTAAATGCCCTTCTCCATACCCTGGACTAACATTTGCTAAACATCATCACCTCCAATGGCGTTGCTTCTCCACACAACCCTCCTGATACAAACCGAAAAAGCTTCATCTTGAATTCTGACATTCCAGGTTCTGGTTCTGTCCCCTTGTCCTTCCATCTTCCTCACCTTCTTGCACCCATTGAACCCGGCCTTGACCACACTCTTCCATGTAACGCCATGGCTGTCAATGAACACCTGTCAGAATGTCTCAGGGGAGCCCCTTTGCCAAACCTCAGGTGCTGCAGCCCTCTCCCCAAGGGCACTTCAGAGAGTGGGGACTAAAGGAAAAGGCCTGGTCATCTGAATTTTGAAATCGCACCCCTCAATCCTGAGGCCCTGCCCCACCACGGGCTCTCCCCAGAACTGCAAGGCTTTCACGTGCTTCCAGGCTTCCCTCATCTCAGCCCTTTGTGTCTATGAACCACTGCCACTGAGTCCCCAGCACTGAGGGAAGCTTGCTGCTCTGATCTTGTCAGTCTGATGGCCCAGTAACCCCCACTGTGTTTGTTTTGCTGGCTTGATAGATTCATGACAGGCACAAAAAAAAATAAGGACATTTTAGAATGGTATGAATTTGGAAGAAAATCTGGTTCATTCTTTATTGTGTTGTCCTTTACTAATGGAATATTTTCACCTGACCCGTCAATCTTTAGCTCTAATTATATCTCCATTTCACTGCTCCGTGGCTTACCACTACTGTCCCTGTTCATTGAAATGTTTTATCTTGAAGCCTCTGGGCTACTTACCAGAGACTCATAATACCCATAATTTAAAGAGGAAAAAAAAAGTTATAAAGCCTTCATGTCTTAAATGCAACAGCATGGCCTTGAAACACTATAGAACTTGCGGTCTAATAACTTAGAACTAAATTAGCTAAAGCTTTGATTCACATGCATTTGGAGATCAAAACAGGCTGAAATGCCTTAGGCAACATTTATGCTTACGGCCATAATTAGACAACTGCTACAATATTGAAAAAAAAAACGAATTTTACAAACTAATCGAGACTTCAAAAAAGAAAAACATGTCAGCTTATTCCAGCAGTTTATTAAGGGGCAATGTTTCAGTTGCAAATAATTTATATCATATAACTAAGCTCATTTAAAATTAATTAGTTTTACCATAAATAAGCATATTGAAGATTCTACCAAAATCAGAAACTCTACCAAAGATTTTTGAATCACATAAAAATTTAGTTAATGGGCCTTCAGTTATTTACCAGTAACAAATACACAAATCTCAGTGTTTTGCCTGTGTCATTAGATTATTTTAAAAGAGCACATGGTACAACACACTGATATAGAAACACCTCCTGCCAAATTATCTTCAGGATTCTATCAATCCAACATTTGTAAAATTAGAATCCAAGAAAATACTCTAGTATTGATACGATTAAGTACATGTGGGTGTTGATTTTTTGCTTGTTTGTTTGTTTGGTTTTACCAAGGACATCCTATGAAGATGTATATTCAAAGCCACAAATAAAATAACTAAAGGGCTTCTGGGTGAATTATTTGACTGTAATAGGCCCTGGTTTTATGTTACTGAGCTCTAAAAATCTGATTAACAAGAAATCACATGCACGTTAAGAGTAAGTGAAATCAGTTTGGAAAAAAATACTTCTAGGATAGGTGCTTTATTTACTGAATACTTACTATGTTACTCCCGTTTCACAGATGAGGAAACTGAGGCTCAGCAAATTCTGAACATGGGTCTTGCTGACTCTTTTCCCTAAGCCTTTCTGATTCCATTAATATGTAGGTTGAAATGTTTTTCTTCTATAACCTATTGGATCAAAAAAGGGGCTGAATATCAGTCACCAAGTCTTTGCTGGTGTGTAGCAATCATGTCGTGAAATGGGATTTCACCATATTTTAGGCGTCCTGTCACAGTAGTTATTGGCATTTGCACTTTACTCAAGGTTCCTTGTGGTTTTTCTTGACCTCTTTCTCTTGGATATCAAACAATGGGTATTTACCACAAATGTATGAAACAAAAACGGTCCAGGAAATGCACTATGACAGACAAAACTCTAACAGTATTTAATAGTTATGAAAATTGAAAAAGGTAATAGGTCTAAGTAGAAAGCTACATGTTCTAGGAAATTATAAGTATCTGGAGATGACGTAAAGGAATCTAGATGAGTTCCCTGTTCTTATTTGCAGATAAAGAACTTAACCCAATAACAAGTCTTGCAAACAAAAGGATTACTGACTAGTTGAGGGACACGGTGAATAATGAGGAAAAGAGTTAATAATACTCTCACCTAGTGAGTAGTCTACAGATGAGGACAGGACAGCAGTTTACTGCCTTGTGACCTAGAAAGACAGGTTATCAAAGGTTATTACATGTAAGTCATCATTCCCTCCTCTAAATACAAAGAATTGAGCTGTGTGGCATCTAATATATAGCAGTTTCTGATTCTTGACAGATGGTCCCTATTAAATCAGTCTCTGGACAAAGATGGTGTCGGTGAGCTAATTCTGTTCATTCATTAACTCCATCACTCCTTCCCACATTTATTGAACTAATTGACCTTTATTAAACAATATTTTGCATGGGACACTGGGCTAAATACTCAAAACAAAACAGCCATGGCTTCTGTTGTCCCCTCTAGAACCAGGCCCACCTGTCAAGATTGGTTCCTGGTCATCCAAATTAATATTTTCCTTCCCAGGCTGAAATTTTTAGCAGCGTTGTTCAATATGAAATATTAAATGGAGATGCTATAGAACAATATAGTAATTGCTCTATTAATTCAGAAAGGGGCAAGTTGAATTAGAGAAAAGACTGGATTATAGGCTATGTAAAAAGAAAATCAGTTTAATTCCAGCACCTGAATTACGATGTTCAGAATTGCAGAATTCTTCCATCCACACAAGAGTCTTTAAAATATTTGTTTTAATCAGTAGTTTTAGTTTAATGGTAAATTTACATGCCAATGATTTCTTTGGATTTTAGATCTTAGAAGATTGTTGAAAAAAAATGTTTATTCTTCTAATTCGTTAAATACTTTGGATAGCTTAATAATGCAGCTAATTTACGTAGCAGAGCAAGTCTCTCTTTATAGACCTTTACTATCCAATAGAGTAGCCATTGCCCACATGTAGCTACTTACAGTATACAGTCCAAATTGAGCACAAGATGTGCACTTTGTGTAAAACACACACCAGATTTCTAAGACTTAGTAGCCCAAAAAAGTATGTAAAACTCTCAATCATTTTTATATTGACTGCATATTGAAATTATATTATTTTGGATATGTTGGGGAAAATAAAACACTGTATAGTATCAAGCTTTATTTTCTATGCCTTTTATTTTTTTAATGTGACTACTAGAAAATTTAAAATATGTGGCTTGCATTGTATCTCTGTTGGATGGCATTATAATAAATAATAAAAAGAAATGTTTCCGAGGCATTAGTAGATTCTAATTACTATCTGTGGAAGTCCAAAAATAAAATGAAAAATGTCCTTAAATGAATATGAAAAACCATCCTTCCAAACTAAAGCAAAATGAATGGGGCATAAGTGCATGACCCACCACACCTCTCCTCCACCTCTCACTCCCCAACCCCAGGTTCAAAGGAAGGAACCTGGAATGTAGAGCAAACAGAAATATGGCAAAAATTAGCCCAGAGGCCTTGGGGACCACGGCTTACCACTTAATGCCGCTGCACAGCTGGCCCCAAAAGGTATTGAGATGTAGGACTTCCAAGGGAATGGTCTCTATATTTTAAAAAATATATGTAACATGGTGAAAAACTCAGAATTCATGAAAGTAAAGCATCAATGGAAGAAGTAATGCCCTGAGAAGCCAGTTAAGAAATGAGGATTCCATCCCCGATGGACCAGAAAGCCCTTCTAGCACCTCCTGCTGCCTCCGGGTTCCCAGCCTCATCTGAGCGGCGTCCCGCCCACTCCCCCTTCCCGCTTGGGGCGAGCCACCGACCTCCCCCTAAGGTCTACGGGGACTCAAAGTTAGCGTGATGCTCACCTGATAACTTTGCTGAATGATGCTGAAGTGTCATTTCTCATTGGGTCTTTGGCGTCTCCTGTCTCTTTCAGTGTCTGAAACTCCCTCTCAGCTCAACCATAGGGATTAGCTTGGAGCACCCTCCCCGCCCCTACCGTCTTCCAGCCTCGAACTTCACTCCTGCTTTCAGATCCCTTTCTTCACCACTCAGATCATATTCTAGGTGGTTTAATCAACCCAAAGGAACAAAATAATTAAGAAATTTATCTAGTTATTTGGTGATGTAAGAAAAAGTTTCAGGCAGATTTATTACAATTCTTTATCAAGGGACAGAACTGCTTCTCTCCACACTCAAGGAAATTAAATGCTGTAGCAAGAAAATTATTTTTAAATAAAATCCATTATTTAACGGTAATTAACAATAAGAAACTAGTCCAACAAATAGGAATCATTAAATAAGTTGTGATAAATTCATATAGTGGAATTACTCTACAGCTATCAAAAATCATGCCTTTGAAGACTGACAAAGGAAATGCACACAATGAAAATTAATAAAGACACATAACTATTTACAATATGATCTGACTCTATGTAAAATAAAATACATACACTATGTTAATAGTGGCTACCTCAAGGTGGTGAAATTACAGGTTATTTTTTTTCTTTATATACAGTTTCTGTGTTTTTAAGTTTTTTACAATGAGCATATATTACTATTATAATCAGAAAAATATATACATAAAATAAACTATTATTCTCTAGTTTGCAATTTTAACAATAAGTCCAATTTTTAAGAGTACCACCAAAAGCTTATCTTTCATGGAAAAAAATCATACCACCTCTAAAGATGATACATGATACAGTACAGTTTTTTTTTTTTATTCACTAGAACCCTGTGTCAGCAAGATTAGTTATGCCAGACATGATATTGATTTATCTTGCCTGATATAATTTTGGCTTATCTATAAAACAAACATTAGGATAATCCCCAACTCCAGTGCAACAGACTTCCCTGTCTGAAAATCAGCAAGACTTATTTAAGGGGCTTTAAAGGATAAGACCTAATTAGCCCTTTCTAAAAATCCATAGCATGTTTCTGTATAAAAGTTCGAAGCAAAACTCATTCAAAGTTAGCTCCACAGAAATAGCAGCAAAAATATAAAATGGACCTCAGCAATTACGGAAACAAATCTTCCAGCGTTTTTAGACCAAATGCTTTTGAACCTACTAAGAATTTTTAAGACTCAATTCAAAGAAATTTGGGCATATTCTAAAGAACAGAAAGTGGAGCCACTCCTCATAAAATAAGTTATTATTTCGTTCTTATTCTCTCAGAAAAGGTCACCTCATTCATTCCAAGGTCTGCTCTAAATAAAAGAGTTTATAATAAAATTAATCACAATGTTGCTCATAACAAGTACTTTCTCCTCCTTTCCTCCCCCTCCAGCCACTGCAGTATAATGCATTTCACAGTCGGTTTATGCTTCTTTAAGGGCCTGATATTGCATAATTCATGCATATTTTTCTGCACAGATTTAGTGAAAGTCCATGTGTGCAGGCCCTCGACAGGGACACAAAAGCCCTCAAGGACCTGGGGTTTAGAGAGTGCCTCGAAATATAAAAAAAAAAATTTTATACTTACATAAAATATAGAGTTCTGTCATTTGTTCTGCTAAGCCTATCATTAACCAGATATGTAAATTAATATAACAGTATTTGATAGAAACACTGCTTTAAAAGGAACATTCCAGCCGAGGGCCCTTTGTCATCTGTTCTATATTCTGCCATCTTCTTTTTCAAGGGAAACTTGGCTCAGCAGAGACCATTAGGCATATCATGGCAGTTAAGATATGGTTACTTGGGACTTAACTTTTGATTCCAATACTTGCAATATGACTTCAAGATAAATACTGCATATAGCAATGGGCACAGACAAAAAATATTCTTAATTTTGTCATTCAATTTCTGTAAAAATGTTACAGAATGGTTCCCATTTCTCATGCTTTTGTTATAGAATGTGCTGCAGAAATGACAGCCCCTGTCAGTATTTTTTTTAACACCCCCCTGCCAAAAAGAACAAATCCAGGCACTATTCACATTATTCAATATTTTACAATCACTTATGCTCATTTCAAAAGCTCTGTCAAATGCTACAAAAAGGTCTTCTAGAAGTCAGATATATAAAATCTACAGTTGCAACACTGAGAAGTACAAATGGTTAACAGCTGCTGTGTGTGTACAATTATTTCAAATAAATGAATAAGAAAAATATCAAGACTATTTGTAACTTCTTCTGCCTCTCTTAGAGTAGTAAAAAATAAGAGAAAGAGAAATAATAAAAGCAAAAAATAGAAACGCTATGAAAGCCAGTAAAGACTTTCGGGTATGAAAAAAGCTGCACTCTGTACACAGGGTGAATTCTTCTGGACAAAATCTTCCCAGGGTTTTGGGACCTGGGAAGCCATTGTTCTCAATAATTTTCCTGTAATGTTTCATGGATGGTTTGGGCTCAAACTGATTTGCAGCATAACGATACAGGCCAAACTTCGGAGCTGTGTGATCATTAAATGAATAAGCAAAGTATCCACAAAGATTGATACCATCCAATATATAGGCTAGAAAAACAAAAGGACAGGAGAAAAGTTATGAAAATATTTTGCACACAACACTTTGCTTTTACATAGCCCTGGCGCATCAGCAAAAATGTCAATACCATTTAATAAAGCTTCAGATTTAATTAGATTTAATCAGAAAAGCCTTCTTGTATCCGAAGACAAAGAGGTAAATACATTTAACATAGTAGGTTTTACATAATTAAGCCTACTAGGATGCACTTGGGTTAAATCTTTCAGTACGTGAAGCAGTCAAGACTGCTGTGAAGCCATCTTATATGGAGGACAAGATAGTCCAGGGTTTATTCCACCCAGAGTAGGTGCGAGGGAGATTCCATCTTGCTCTTTTAGCCAAACTCCTTTATCCCTGGGGAAAATACTAGCTAGCACTTGGACTTTTTCAGTGTGTCAAGGAATAGATAGCACTTTCTCTGCAGGTGATAGTGTGTGTATGTGTTTGAGAGTTTCTATCAGGTATCAGGCTCTCAGGTGACTTAACCCTCAAGAGACCGCTGTTTCGGGGGCTCCTTACCTTTCAGAGCTTCGTTTATGTAATTCTTCATGTAATACACCCTCAGATTGTCTTCGGCTGCGTGTGGATCATCGTCGATGCCGTTGGAGATTATATACATGGGGAGGTCTCCGTACTTGGACTTCAGCCAATTCAGTACCTTGCGTAACCCCCAGGGCACCACGGCCACCTGACTTGGGGAGTTGAGCCAGGTGATGTCAGTCATTTCTTGCACCGCCAGGTAATCATTATATTTTACTGGATCTTCTTTTTCCCAGTCTACAAGGATGGTGGTGTAATGGCTTAAAGCCAAAAAATCAAAGGAACCCCGGATTAGCTTTTTTTCCTCGTCAGTGAAATAAGGCAGGAGGAAATTGTTTCTCTGGTTCAGCCAGTCCCTCATCACGCGTGGATAATCCCCGGAGCCGAAAATGGGCTCGGCCAGCCAGCCAATGTCAAATTGCAAAACCCGCTCGGCCACTTCTTGGTCTTTTGGGGAGAGAGGGCAGGCCGGTTCTATCCAATCCGCCTGCAGGGCTATGGATATTCTACCCTTCTGAGAGCGCCTAAACTTCTCATCGTACACGCGCCAGGCCAACGCGTGGGCCTTCAGGAGGTGGTGCCCCGCGATATACGTCATGTTCCGCGTGGACGGCTCGTTCATCGTGATCCAGAACTTGACGTGGTGGCCGAGGTCTCGAAAGCACAGGCTGGCGTACTCTGCAAAAGCCAGGGCGGTGTGAGGGTTCTCCCAGGCGCCGTGCCGGGCCAGGGGTGGCGGCAGCCCCTGGTGCGGGGCGGCGGGGCGCCACAGGGCCACGACCGGCGTGATGTTGGCGTGCACGAGCTCGCTGGCCATGCAGCGATAGTAGCGCAGGACCGTGCGGTTGACCTGGGACTGGTTCCCCAGCGGCAGGATCAGCGCCCAGTCCAGGGAGAAGTGGAAATGCGACACGTGCATTTCCCGGAGTAAGGCGATCTGGGGCCGGATGGCGGCGAAGTCAACGCAGTAGGATTTCCTCTTCTTGGTCACAACCCCGTCCACCTTAATAAGCCTTTTACTGTGGTGGACATCCCACAGGTAAACGTTGGGGTCGGTAAACTGAGACAGAGTGGTGTCCACCTGGCAGGAAGAGAGTAACCGTTAGCCTCACCTGGACCGTCCTGGAAAGTCGTTCAACGCAGCTCTTTTGACAAAACCAGCCAGCAAAATAGGTAAAAACAGAAACCTTTCTAGCTGAATTTTTAAACTATTTTTTCATAAAGAGGAAGTTCTTGGAGAAGAAAATATTTCCCTTTGATGGGTGCACATTTGTTTTTCCCATAGTTCTCTGTAACTCTGGAACTGTTACTTTAATGTTAAAAAAAAATCTGAATTTTTGGGGTCACTTCAGATGACAAACATTAATAATCCTCACACACCTCTGGTCTGCGTTAAGCAAGCAGAGTATTTTGGACGTTTTTCTTTTAGTGTAAGAAATCACTAATGATACGAGGCTTTCAAATTAAAAAAAAAAACTAGACAAAAAAATGATAAAGCTTAAAACCTGAGTGAGAGTCAGAAAATGAAACGATATTTAAGATTAAATTGCGCTTCTTAAAATCACGTTCTAAATGGAGGTTTGCTCCAGGTGAAGGACGTGGAAAATAAGCATAACGGTTGCCTTTTATTGGCATTAGAGTCCATAACAGAATTTAGCAAACTCATTCTGACTGATGGTAGAAAGTGATAGGGAATGTGGAAAACAATTCTGTCATCCACCCATAATGGGATATTTTAACATAGCTTTTTAAAAATTTCTAAATTATTTTTCTGTGACGATCATGACGATAATGGTTCTCAATCTCTGATTTACAAGCCTTCAAAATGAAAACATGTATTTAGGAAAGTGGACAAATTGCAAAATCAAAATCACAAAATCCTTCCTCCACATGCCAACCATGGCAGGAATGGAAACTGAAAGTTCATCCCAAGGACCCGCCACCAAAGCCAGTTTTCTCCTCAGAAATAATCCTGTTAGAATTGGTTCCTCAGTTTGACCCTCTATATAAAAGCTGGGGTCAAACTCTGGTTTTGAATCTCTAGCAGAGGTTTCCTTGCATTTTTCAGGCCTGTTGCAAATGAGCTTCTGTTTCTCTAGAGGGGTCAGTGCTGTGCTTATAAAGGAAAGTAATAAAATACAGTGTGTCAGAGGGAAATTGCTTTTTCTGGAGAATTGTCCCTTGTAGATCACCCACACATGCATTTCCTCTAATGCTGTGGGAATGCTGTCAGAAGTATTTTTCCACTGTGATGCACCCACAAATCATGTTTCCTCAGCTTTGCAAGAGAAAATATTTGCATACTCTTTGGAAGTGAAAGTGTTCATAGCTTGAAGGAATTATTTGGATTATTTTTACAGAGCTCTGAGTTGACAAAATTCGTAACTTT